TTTTTATTATTCTTTCAAATATATCCCAAATATTTGACCCGTTAGGCCTTTTGAGCCCTGTAATAATCGTCGTAAAGGTGTTATTACAACAGCTGTGGCTACTAAAAATAGGTTGGGACGATGCTTTGCCTAATGAATTTATACGTACATGGAACCGGTTTGTTATGTCACGAAATATTCTCACTACGTTACGCATACCTAGACACGCTATAGGTACGAAACCTATCTGTGTACAACTGCATATTTTCTGCGATGCTTCACAAACGGCCTACGGCGCTTGTGTTTACGTGCGTACGATTAATGTCGATTCATCGGTATCTGTACGCCTTTTGTTTTCGAAAGCAAGGGTAGCGCCCTTAAAACCTATAAGCATACCACGACTTGAATTATGCGGCGCTTTATTAGGTGCAAGATTGTCTGATAAAATACGAAATTCGCTAAATTATAACTTCACTAATATAGTATTTTGGCCAGATTCAACCATTGTGCTAGGATGGTTACGTATGGCACCAAACCGATTAAAAACTTTCGTGTGTAACAAAACTGTAGAAATTCATGAGTTAACTCAGGAGTTACCGTGGCGTCACGTGAACAGTAGTGACAACCCTGCTGACCTTGCGTCCCGTGGTGTCTATTTGGAAGAGCTGGCTTCTTCTACCTTATGGTGGGATGGTCCTGACTTTTTGAGGAGTCCCAGTTTTAATGTAGACAATTTCGTCAATACGGGCTCATGTGATAACGAGAATTTACCTGAGGTCAAGGCAGTTATGCAATCATTTATAGTTACGGACGAGTCGAACTCACTATTTCCCTTTAATCGGTTTTCACAATATCGTCGTATGGTGCGTGCCATGGCCTTTGTGTTACGTTTTATAAACAATTCACACAGAAAAACAAGCAAAAGGACAGGTCAATTGAATTTAGAGGAACTTAAAATCTCTGAGTTAACATTAGTTCGTTTATGCCAAAGAGAATCTTACCCTATTGAACATAAATTATTATGAAATAAAGAAACGTTAAAGTCTAAAAATTATTTATTAAAATTGAATGTATTTTTAGATGACAATCACATAATGCGAGTAGGTGGACGATTAGATTATTCGGAATTTGATTATTGCAAAAAGGCACCCTATTGTTATTTCAAGTAAGCACTATTTTACTTTATTATTGGTCCGTCATAAACATGTTCAGCTATTTCACGCAGCCCCACAAGCATTATTATTTCACTTACGTGAATTGTGGTGGCCGGTAGGAGGCAGAAATCTTGCGAGACAGGTGGTACACAAATGTGTTATTTGTACACGCCTCAGAGGTAAGACACTTACACCTATCATGGGTAACTTACCCAAGGAACGGATCACTCCAAGTTTTCCCTTTAATCATTGTGGAGTTGACTACTGCGGACCAGTGTTTATTTTGAACCGCAAAGGTAGGGGGGCAAAATTAATTAGCATATGTATTATGCTTGTTCATATGTTTTGTCACGCGCGCAATACATTTGGAATTAGTTAGTGATCTGTCCAGTGAGTCATTCTTATTAGCGCTAAAGAGATTTATTTCACGGCGCGGTAAGCCCTCAGAAATCTACTCAGATAACGGCCGAAATTTCGTAGGGGTAAAGAATGATTTCTCAGAGTTCTTACGCAATTGCGACGCAGAAATTTTAGAGTATGCAACAGGCCAGCAAATTAGATTTAAGTTCATTCCGCCTTATTCGCCTCATTTTGGTGGTCTTTGGGAGGCAGGAGTCAAATCGTGTAAATTCCATATTCGTCGTGTGATAGGAAACGCGCACCTCACCTTCGAGGAGTTCAACACGTTGCTATCACAGATAGAAGCCGTCCTTAACTCCAGGCCTCTGTCTCCTCTTTCCTCCGATCCACAGGACCTTATACCCTTAACTCCTGCTCATTTTCTGGTTGGTCGACCACTTACTGCCCTGCCTTGTGAACACAAGTCCGCAATTCCTGTCACTCGTCTTAACCGATACCAAAGAGTAGAACAATTAGGACAACATTTCTGGTCCCGTTGGGCAAGGGAATACATATCTGGATTACAGGTGCGGACAAAATGGACGCAGTATAAAGGTGATCGTAGTCCTAATTCCTTAGTAATCATCAAGGACATTAACATGCCACCGTTGAAATGGCAAATGGGTCGAGTACTTCGCACCATACCCGGCAGAGATGGCGTTTCTCCTGTTGCGGAGATTCGGACGACGTCGGGCGTAGTGAGGCGTGCCTATGCAAAAATCTGTCCCCTGCTACCAGAAGAAGACGCCAAGGCTGAGCAATAACTTCGAAAGGCGCTGCTTTCAAGGTCGGGGGCATGTTCGCGATCAAAGTTCGCTGATTTCGAACAGGGTGGCGCTGTAGAGGTGTCGTTGCGCATCTGTGCAATCGACGCCCAATAAAATTTAAATCCGGACTTTAGGCCAATCATATTCAAATGTCAATATAACCGTTAAAAATTGTTCCTCTCCCTCTTATCCTCGAATCTTGTACATTTAAAGTGATTAATCGCAATACAGTTTTCATAACGATCGCACGGTTTTTAATTCTGATCCAAAGCCTAGGAAAGTAGACACGCAGTCAACCTACACGCCCATTATTCGAGAGCATCAACAGAATAAAATAAATGAATAATAACCGGCCGCAGTTCAGTGTTACCAACTGTTGAAAAAAAAACTACTAAAGTATATCAAAAACCACCTAAAATCCACTATTTTCAAAAAAAATCCCTAAATGAAAAAATCATTCACATCAGTCACCTTGTGAGGTTATAATTATTTTTAAGAATCAGACAATAAATAATGGGAATAAGTATCGTTCAATTATAAAAGAAAGATATTTTTTATATTACTTATTAAATTTATTTAATATATTATGAGTAGCCGTATATCCACAATAAGAGTTTATGGCGGAAAAATTTAAAATACTACATACAATGCTGCCAATACTTTTACATAAAATTTTGTTTTTTTTTCAAATAAATATTTTTTGTTTAATAAAATACAATTTTCTCCAAAATAAAAACCATACATAATTTTTTTTTATTATTTATTTTAACTTAAATTTTGTATTTAAGTTAATGGTACCGAGGTTAAATTAGTTTTTCATTTAAAACAACGCCATCTGTTTTCGCCGGACGGAACTAAACGGAAAGAGCAAGCTCCATACAAATATCAAATGTATAGACTGAAAAGACCGTGGGCCCGAAGTTCAGGCTAGGAGCCCCGAGCGCTCATGCCCGTCGGAACTGTAAAGGCCCCTAAGGCCAACAGTGGCTCATCCAACCCAAAAAAAAAATGCATTGGAGGAGGGAAAGGGATACATGTGTTATTTGTAATAGTTTATAAGTGCACAGTATTAAAGGGGGAGGTATTGAAACAATTCGGGTTTTTTTGTTACTCAACCCTGATTTAAAACCTCAACAACATCAAAAGCCTCTGGTTATACAGAACAGGCTAAACACTGTCGATGACCACCTTTTCTCCCGCCCGACTCCAAAACCCATACGAACTTACATAAAATACGTTCCTCTTAGCCGTTTTAAAAAAAATTGTGGTCACCAAAAATTTTCATCGGTTGAAGTGGAAAACTTATAAAATGCGACGCCTTGGAAAGTAGGAAGTAAAGCTCTTCTTAGCTATAGAACATCTTGAGAACTGCCCAAGTGCATTGGATTGAATTAAAAATTTGGCAGCTATCCGAACTTTAAAAAGATTTTTACATTTGAATTAAAACATAATTAATGACATCGATGTATTGAGAAAAAAAAATAATGGGGTATGAAACGTAAATAGTCATAACTAATAACAAAATTTTCTTTGTTTTGATTGTAAATATGACATTGCTGCGTGTGAATTAGGCCTCAAACAACAAAGGCTTAACGTTAGATTCACTCCATTGTTACAAACATTTTTTTCATCCATTATTCAGCGGCATTTCTTTCCGTATGCTTACATAAAGATTACAAAAATCCGAGAATCTAAGTTGATCAACGACTCTACATGTATATCTTTTTTTACGTAAAAACATGGCAAGCGAGCAGGCGGTTCACGTGACGTTAACGCTGCCTATGGACATCTGCAACACCTGATGGGTTGCATTGTTGACATCCATTAAAAATTGGGGCCCTTTACCTTATTCGTCAGACCAGAATAGGTATAATATATTCACCTCACACCGGTATTTTCGGAGGCCGTGGTTCTTCTCCGGACGAGTCTGCCCTTTCGTTCAACAGCAAAAGCTGCGGTATGATAACGATATGTATACAACGCAAAAAACAAAAGGACCCAAGATCGATCTTTGAGGAAAACCTCTCATAATCTGCTGCGGTAATTAAACGCAATTATCTTTGCAAATTATAATTTATTGATTATTTGAGTATTAGTCCATTGAGAAATAAACCATTTGATTATACAATATAAGCCATTTTCTATTAACTATGGTGGTAGCTGGGCATAATTTTTTCCTGGTATTGAGTAAGCCCCTTTCGATTTGTCCGTAATTCCTTTTAGTAGCCAATGTGAAATTGTTGTAATACGCGTTCTTTCTCATAACTTAATGTGATATTCACTTGATGTTAACGTTTTTATAGTAATCTTTATGAGTAGGCAATCAAGCCTGTGACCTTGAGTGTTGTAAAGCATGCGAAACGCAGTGTATAAAATAAAAATAAACCACCATAAAATACGTAAGTTAGTTTTAATTTGCAATACCCACCTTAAAAAAAACGGTTATATGAACAGTTTCATCCTAACATGTTTCGAATTTTAATTGTTTTAAACCTTTTATTATGCTCGTATATTACATTGTTTAATCATCTTGATATAAATGTTGCTCTTAAAAATACCAGTCTGTACAATTATTTCATGAAAAATTTTCAGGTTTATTTAGAGTAAAACAAAACTATTTATGGCTAAAAGACGTATACTAGACTTTGGAAGCAGAGGGGATGTATAATGAGAGACATGCGAGGTACAGCCAGGTGTTTTATTGTTGATGCGCGTCGGTTTGCGGGTTTCTGGGCGCCGCCGTGTGCTGCTGCTGCGGCTGGTGCTGGTGGTGGTGGTGCGCGGCGGGCGGCGCCAGCTGCGCCAGCACCAGGTGGGGGCGGGCGGGCGCGGCGCGGCGCAGCGCCAGCTGCTGCAGCTGCAGCGCCCGCAGCGCCGCGCCCTCGCCGCCAGCCGCACCCGCCCCGCTCGCCGCGCCCGCAGCCCCCGCCGCGCCCGCCGCCTGCTTTTAATTAAACATTTTCTGATCAAAATAAATGAAATAAGCAATGTATCATTGTTGACGGTGCGTTTGACTAAAGCACACGGTTAACAAATCGGAAATTTACAGTAAATATTTCAAAGTTTCCTACATTTAATATTCCAAACTTTGGTATTGTAGTAAAATTTCCTTACATTTAATTAAAAGCCATTTCACGTATTTTTTCAAGATTTCAGTCAACTCTTAGGTATTATCATCTTTGATCTTGTAACTTAATGTATCACATTTAAAAAAAAACGACTTTGTTACTCTGTGTGATCAATCTCCCACAATTTATTTACTGAAAATTCTTCACGGAGTCAATTTCCGATTCCAAAATCTATCAATAATATACATAAATTAGAGTAAAAAATTAAGATAAACATCAGACATCTTGTAATTGTTTGATAGTTATTAAAAATACAGTGAATATACATATATAGGCTTAGCAAAATTAACCTTAGTACTAGACTTATGTTTAACTCATGTAATGTTGACTGTAAAAGAATATTTAATGAGGTTTAAAAACTAAGTTGAGAAACAAACCGTACCGTATCGAGTCTATTCAGAGACGTTTTACTTTCTTTTATTTAACTGGGCCAGGAAAACGACTGCCTTATCCTGAGCGACTTGAATTTTAACCTTATGAAGTTATCTGACAGGCGCACATACGAGACATGTTATTCTTGTATAAGCTGTTGAACAATTTATTTGATAACCCAGAGTTACTTAGTCGTATTTCCCTTGACGTTCCTTCCCGTTTGCCGCGCCAACCAAAATCTATCCTCACTCATAAAACATACAAATCTAACCTGGGTTACCATTCTATAATTCCTAGATTGTGTAGACTTTTAAAATTTTTTACAAATAAAGATAGTTCAATAAATATTTTTCACGACAAATTATCAGTATTTAAATCGAAAATTGTCAGGGTATTGAATCCAATTAGCGCCGTAGAAGTCTAACGTTCGGTCTTATGTGTACATATTTATGTTGCATCACTTTTATAATAAGTATGTAATAGTTTTGTTATTTTGTTATTATATTTTAAGTAGCATTGTAGTGTTAGTTATATTGTTTCCTTGTTTTTTTCTCTAGTTTTTCTTATATTGTTTTATAATACTGTTTAAGCACCTATACTCTGTGTATGCAGTGTCTGTCTGTAATTGAAATTGCATGTTGTTCTCAACCTGAGTTTATGTTCATCTTGTATGCTATTTCTAAAAACATGTAATTTTGTAGATAGACCTTAATAAATAAATAAACAAACTAATTACTGCAACCCTAATTGGGACTTTTCCATTATATGTATGCGAATAATTTAAATTAGGGCAAATATTGTTAAGTACATGACAGCAACATAGTTGAGTCAATAGAAATCTCTATGGTGATCATATTAATGAGTACGTAATTTTTTTGGTACTCTAGTTATTATCTGTAATTTTTAAAGAATCAGAATATGCAATACGGCACTTTCATATAATTATATTTATTAATACGGTAATTATGGAATATTCTGGCAACTCTGAAAAGTTGATACAACACCGATACGCAAGCGGGCACTGATCACTAATTCACTATGGCGTAAGCGTCCGACGAGGTAGGTACGATCTATGTCACTTTTCCCACGTTCCGATTTTCAAGAGCTCGTACTGTAAACGAGAGGGGGCTACCGTTTTACAAGTTTTTTGCGGTTTGAGCATAGACCATGCATAGCCACCGCGTCCATTTTTGAAAAGGTTCGCAAAAGGGGTTCAAATCAAAACTGTAAAGTCTATTTTGTACACTTAAAACTATTACCACATTTTTTCAACAAAGAATAAGGCCAATGAACCTGTAGGGGCCTCACAAATCACACATTCAAACATACTACCATTCACGCACACATTTATCACAACACAATAACACTATACAGCATTTAACCGTTGGTCGAAGTCTCGAAGGTTCGATCCCGGCAGCTCCATCGCTAACGCACCATATATGGTAATATGGTAATGTGGCAGTGGCCGCCAGCCAGCTGCGCGTTCGCAGTTCGCACCGCCCCATTCGTCAGTCGCTTACGTGCTACTACGCGGAGAGATTGTCGCTTTGCCTCACGGACGCTTGTCAACGTTGCTTACGTACATTTAAACCGTTTATGTTAATTGTGTTACGCTTTGCTTTTCCTCTATCTCTCTGCTTGTTTCTTCGTATCTAATTAACTCCGTTGCCTTCTCCTTCTAACTGTTATTTGTGGACTATTTGTGCTGTGGAACAATAAACTGTGAGTATCAGTGTCAGACCGGCTTTATTATTTAATATCCTGCTCAATAGAGATATACCACAACCCAACCACAACTACAAACCAAAGGCGGTGACACGACTTAGTGAACAAACAAACATAACAACAAGCCATAGTACTAGTGCATTATGTTCGTGTGGGTAATTACGCATTGCGCGGTGGCCGCCTTTGGTGCTACCTGAGCGTGCGGCGCGGCGGCGTGGTGCAGGATCTTGAGGTGGTGGCGCGCGGCGAGCGCCTGCTGGCGGAAGAGCGCCGGCGCCGGCGCGGCGGCGGGCGCGCGCGGGCCCGCCTCGGCTGCGCGGCGCGCCGCCTCCTGCGCGCCGCCGCCGCCGCCACCACCACGCGCTGCGGCGCCGCCGGGGGCGCGCCCACCGCGGCCGCGGCCCCCGCCTTCATCTTCTCTTTGGCGATGCGCTCGGCCCTTCGCGTGGCCACCTCCATCGGCGTGGGGGGCGCGTCGTAGTCGACGCCGTGGTCGGCGAGCAGCGCCTGGTGCTTGGGGTTGCGGTGCGCCGCGTCGTCCAGGCGGCGCTTGGGCGCGGCAGCGGCGGGCGCGGCGAGTCGTCGTCGGGCCGCCGGCGCGCGGGCGCCGGCTTCTTCTGCTTGCGGCGCGCGCGCTCGGGGTCGGCGAGGGCGTCGTGGCGGTCGCGGCAGGCGCGCGGCGAGCGGTAGGCGCGGCCCGCCTCGTTGACCAGGTCGGCGGCCCAGTCCCAGTTGGGGGCGCGGGCGGCGGGCGGCTCGGGCGGCAGCCGCTGCAGCCGCAGGGCGCGGCGCAGGGCGGCGTCCTCGCTGCCCGCCCACTCGGGCTGCGGCGCGTCGCGGTGCGGCGGCGGCCGGAGGCGCGCGCGCGCTCGCGGGCCGCGGCCCGCCGCGCTCGAAGAGCGAGGGCGGCGCGTGGGGCTGGGCGCGGCTGGGCGCGCAGCCGCCGCGGCGAGCGGGCGGCGCGCGCCTCGCGCCTCGCCACGGGCGGCAGCAGCGCCTCGGCGGCGGCGCCGCGCCGGTAGAGGGCGCGCGCCCAGCTGTCGCAGTACACGTCGCCGTCGCTGGAGGGCGGCGTGGGCGGACACCACATCTGCACACAGAGAGGTCGGAGGTCGGAGGGCGGGGCCGTCGCCGCGACCCGTCGGGCCTCGCCGCGCGCCGCGCCTACTCACCGGCATCCGCTCGGCGGGGCCGGAGCTGCACACCCAAACCTGGAAATTAAGGCACCGATTAAATCACCGCTTACGGCGTAACGTTGTCGAAGCGTTTCCTACTCACCAAGCATGATTTAAAGATCACGGTCGCGATTTTCAATGAAATTTATGTGATTAATGGCAAAGGGTCATTATGTACAATAAAGAAATTCAAAATCCTAACAATGGACTTCCCTTATAAAAATTGTTCCGATCCGCGTCCTTCTGCTGCAATTTCTCCATTATTTAAATATCACTCACATATTTCAAACCTAAGTTTAGGTGTTTTAAAACCGACAATATCGCTCTTAATAATCGTACCCCCTTTGTGGGTATTTAGGCATTGAATTTTGTGAACATTATTTTAGTTAACTTCGTTTTTCTTTCACTTAATCAAATTAAAATAAAACCATTTTTAAAGTTATTTTCAAAACAATTCTCCCCTATCTAGAATTTTAATTTCTCTAATCTTTTAATATAAAAGAATGCATTTTTAATACATTATACTTTGTTGTTATTTAAATACATACGCAGTAATAACCTAACCAAGGAATAAACAATTTACATTCCTCTTTTGTCAATTAACCGATATTAATTGGTATGATATAGCCAGAACAAGATATTTTTGCTTTATCGTAATAAAAGGCTAATTTTCATTCTGTTCTTAGAATAGACAAATAATTCAAAATTATTTGTTTAAGTTTTTTTCAATAGCCAATATAACATATGGTCAGGGTCGGGGTCGGGGTAGGGGTGGGGGTGGGAATGACGTGGGGCTGGTGAGGAGCGGGCGGCGGCGCTCGGCTCCGGCCGTAAATGCTTGGTGCGCGTTACATCCCTGACGTTCGGAGCGGTCGCCGTTTTGGTGGCATTCTCGCGCAAGCACCGGTCCGGCAGTGAGACTGAATTCAAGCATTTACGGACGAAATCGAGCGGCACCAAAACGTCGAACGTCAGAAATATAAACGCATGGTAGGTTGTGTAAAGTCATTTATTGCGGTCAGCGGAGGCCAGCCACGCGTCGAGCGTGCCGTTGCGCAGCGCGCGCCGCCGGCCGCCGCGCGCCTCGTCCAGCGTCCACAGGTTGATGTGCACGGTGCCGCGTGAGCGCGTGCGCGGCGTGGCGGCCGAGGCGGCCGAGGCGGCCGAGGCGGGCGGCGCGGGCGGCGACGGCGGCGGCGACGGCGGCGCCGGCGGCGCGCGCCTCCTCCGCCCTCGCACCTTGGCTCGCGCGTCGCCGCGGCAGTACGTCAGCTCGGGCTCGGGCTCGTCGCGCCCCTGCTCCGCTTCTTCGCCGCCCTCCGCGCGCAGAGCTCTCCGCGCGCGCTCCCACTCGCGCAGCTGGCGCCGCATCTCGCCCAGCGCGGCGCGCTCGGCCTCCGTGGCCGCCTCGCTGCTCTCCACCAGCCGCATCGCGTACTTCTCTATAGGCGTTAGCTGCGGCGCAACGATGTTCACGATTTACTAAAGTTTCATTCACTGTTATGTTACGATATAAGGTAAGGGAAAGTCCGAAGTGGCGCAGTACCTGGTTCATGAGGGCCGCGAGCTCGGCCAGCTCGGCGGCCTGCTCGCCGCGCTCGGGCGGCGCGGGCGGCGCGGGCGCGGCGGCGGGCGCGGGCGCCTCGTGCAGCGGCAGCGTATCGTCGAACTCGGCTAGCTCGCCCATGGCCTCAGCGCGGGCGTTGCGCGCGGCCGCGGCGTCGGCCTCGTCCTCGGCCGCGGCCAGCGCGCACTCCAGCTCGGCGGGCGCGCTCGAGCCGGACTCCGGCTCCGCCTCGGCGGCGCCTTCTCCGCACGGCGCCGGCGTGCTCGCGTCGGCTTCGCCGCCGAAAAGTTCTTTTATGTTAGACTGAAAAGAATACACAATTATTTATATAGTAAATAATATATGACTTCGGAATAAATAAATAAACGGGATTTTATTTAAAAAGTGAAATAAAAAAATTGGTATTTAAAAAAACAAAATAAAACTCTTTAACGATAAAGATTTCTTGCATTAAATATGTGAAGATGTCATCGTTGCTAAAACAATTATAGTCCAATTCAGTTGGGCTGCTACAATGCATTCTGCGGTTCGCATATTATTAATAAGAGAACTGAAATACAAATAGCGTGTCGTTTGCGAGTTACGCACCAGGCGCAGGTAGGAGGTGGTGAAGTGGCCGTCCTCGATGGCCAGGTGGCCGAGCGCGCGCTTCTGCTCGGCCTTGCGCAGGATGTTCTCCTCGACGGTGGCGGCCGTGACGAGGCGGAAGACGTGCACGTCGCGCGTCTGGCCGATGCGGTGGCAGCGGTCCTGCGCCTGCGCGTCCATCGTGGGGTTCCAGTCCGAGTCGTAGAAGACGACGCAGTCCGCGCCGGTCAGGTTGAGGCCCACGCCGCCGCTGCGCGTCGACAGGATGAAGGCGAACACGCGCGCGTCCGCGTTGAAGCGGTCCACCAGCGGCTGGCGCTGCTCCACGCGGGTGGCGCCGTCCAGCCGCAGGTACGTGTGCCCGTGCATCGACAGGAACGCCTCCAGCACGTCCAGCACGCGCGTCATCTGTGTGAAGATCAGCACGCGGTGTCCGCCGGCCTTCAGCCGCCGCAGCAGCCCGTCCAGAGTTTGCAGCTTGCCTACAATGCGCAATTGGATAGTTCTCACTTTGCAGTACTACAATCGCTGCAAGCTGCAAGCCGCTGGGCAGAGTGGGCAGACTAACCGCAATCGTACTGCAGCAGGCGCGGGTGCGGAAAGGCCACGGCCTGGCGCGCGGCCGGCGCGTGCAGCAGCGCTAGCGCGGCGCGCGCGGGCGGCAGGGCGCGCTGCTCGAGCGCGGCCTGGCGCCGGCGCCACGCGCGCCACTCCGCGCCGCCGCCGCACCACAGCTCGGCGGCGCCGGCGCGCGCTCCGCCGCAGCACACGCTGAACCTGCGGCGGACAAGGTCGCGTTCTACTTCCGCTGAATCTTTCATCGCGATGTGTATATGATGAAATGAAATCTCACCGGTCGATGATGTCGTGCATGTCGTCCAACAGTTCGGACAAGTCTCTCGGCGGGAGCGCGGGTGGGCCCGCGAACACCGCCGCGCGAAGATCCGAGCCGTAGAGCGGCAGCCGCCAGCAGCGGCGCTCGTTGATGGCTGCCAAGCGTCGCAGGGAGGCGCGGCGCCAGGCGGCGGCGCGGGCGGAGGGGCCCCGCGGGGGCGCCGCGGCCGAGCTGGCGGCGGCGGCGGCGGGGGCGTGGGCGGGCGCGGCGGGCCGGGCGGCGGGGGGCGCGCGCGGCGGGGGCGGGCGCGGGCAGCGCGGGCGGCGCGCGCGCCACGAGGCGCAGTGCAGCCGCAGGGCGGCGGGCGGCGGGCGCGGCGGCGCGCGGCGGCCGTCGGGCGGCGCGTCGAGCAGGCGGCGCGGCGGCGCCAGGTGGCGCGCGCGCGGTGCGCGGCGAAGGCGCCGGCGCCGCGCGCCTCGAGCGCGGCCAGGTCGCCGCCGAGGCGCGCGGCGGCCGCGAGGCGCGCGCGCGCCCCGTCCGCGGCGCCGAGCGCGAGCGCCGCCACGCGCAGCCGCAGCGCGCCCAGCTGCAGCGGCTACGACACGGCGCGCGCCTCGAACAGATCCGGATGATTGCACACCTTCCGCAGCTGCATGAGCACGTTTATCACGCTCAGAAGATTACCAGATGCGAGACTCTCTTTTGTTCTGAAAACATCCAGAGGTTTTATTACTTATTATACATAATATATTTGTGCCCGTAATTATGAAGTGGCCTATGTCATATATTTCTTGTGTCGAAATATTTAATGAATTGCGTTCAAACGAATTAAAAACTATTTTACATTATAGGACATTTTAATTTATAATTTTTTTAGTCTTGATTAATCGAAAATTATTATGAAATTGGAAGTTTGTCTGAATTTCATACAAAAATTATGTTTTTAAAGCTTGAATTGACTTATACCATTTTCAAAATCAACTGGATATTAATAATTTATTATGAACAAAATTATAAATGACTTAAAGCAAAAAAGAACTATGAGTTTTATTTTAAAAAATAACTGCAATGAAATAATAATTAATAATTTATGAACACTAATTATTTTTTTTTTAAAGCAATACATGTATATCATTAAGATGTTTGAAGATGCTTAAAATGTTCCTGAAAAATTTTAGGGATGTATAAATAAACGTGGATGATGTATAAAAATACAGTATGAACTCATAAGCCAAGAAACAGATTCGCGGTCGCGAAAGGGTAAAACGGGACCCTATTACTAATACTTCGCCGTCTGTTTGTCCGTCTGTGATCAATGTATCTCATTGACAGTCATCTCATGACTGACATCTCTCCTAGTTAAGACAGTTGAAATTTGCACAGATGATGTATGTGGTCTGTTGGATGGTGTATGATGCGCGGAAGGATATTCGTCCGTTGCCGGAATAATGGTTTTTACACTCTAGTTTATAATAGTATAACGATTACACCAATGACAGACACATATACAAATTAGAAGGAGGAAACGAGAAAGTCACAGCACAATAGAAGTTTAGAATAGGAAGACACGTATACAGTTCAAGAAGTAAACACAAACAATAAGAATAATAATTTTCGTAAACTATGATGTACAATTATCGCGTTCGCAACGAGGTAACTTAGCGGCACGTAGGAGCAAGAGACATGCGCTTCGCGTCTGGTTGTGTTGCAACTGGTGAACGCGATGCGACGGCGCTGCTGGTCGGCCCGTTACTTATTTCAAATATTTAAATATTTTATGTAACGGACAGCCAGCGGGAGCGTTCCGTATTATTATAATACTATAAACATATAGATATTATGTGTAATATAAATAATTATATAATATTAACTATGTAATGATATATTTAAATACACAAAGTGAAACATATATGTATGGTATAATAATAAGGTGTTTTATTTATTTATTTATTTATTCGGGAAAACAACAGCATATCATATAATAATTCTTCCAGATTATCACATCTTATTGAAAGCCAATTACAGTTTTCCACTAAATAACAGATCTGGGGTATCGAAACAACTGGAGAGTAGGGAATGTAGAAACATCATATCTATCAATTCGCGTCTTTGCTTGAGTTGTGGTAGTTTATAGTATCTGCAGTCCTCTTCGTAGTTATCCGAAATACGACAATTTTTAAAATTAAGATGTTTTATAAATTTCTTTTGGATGTTTTCAATGTCATTAATGTAGGTGTCATATAGCGGGGACCAAATACTACTTGAATATTCTAAAGCACTACGTACGAAACTGTAGTATAAAACCTTTAAGCAATATGTTGACTTAAACGATTGACCTGTTCTTATAATGAAACCTAACATTTTGTAAGATTTGTTTACAATGTAATTAACATTAATGACCTGACTCTGACCACATGGTCAGACATACATTTTGAATCTAATACAACCCCTAAGTCCCGAACTGATTGTGATTTAGTTATAGGTTTGTTGTTTAAGTTATAGGTAAATTTAATTGGGTTTATTTTCCTTGAAAAAGTTATTTGGGTGCACTTTTCTACATTAACACTTATTCTATTGAAATTGTAATATTCGCACCTATCTAAATCCTCCTGAAACTTTTGACAATCATCTAAACAACTAATTTTAGTGTAAATTTTGGTATCGTCTGCAAACATTACGAATTTAGTATGCTTAAAACATTTGTTAATGTCGTAAAGATATGCATTATACAGAAGAGGCCCTAAATGCGAACCTTGTGGGACTCCTGATGTTATTATAGTTACGTTAGATTTATTTCCACCTATCTTAACTATTTGAGTTCTGTTCGTAATGTACGACTCTATCCATCGATAAAGATCGCCACGAATACCCAGCCCATAAAGTTTGCGAAGTAATATGACGTGGTCTACGCGATCAAATGCCTTTTCAATATCTGTGTAAACCACATCTGCCTGCCCTCCCTTATCCATAAAAGATAAAACATTCTGTGTGAAAATTCCGAGATTAGTAGTAGGAATTTATAAATATGTAAACGTGTAAAATGAGACATTTAAATATTATAAATATGTGAGTCGCCACCGCCGTTATTGATTCTTCCAGTGATTTCGTTGAAATAAAATCTCGAACTTGTGTTCGAGAAAAATGTCGGACGCAAGTTCGTGTAGCACCCGGGTTAATTTTGACTTGACCACTCATAATTATGGGCACATTGAATACACCAAAGAACTATGCAAATGAGACCAAAAGGATACTATAGTAAAGGTGAGAAGATGAGGGCGGGCTTACTTGGCGCGAGCCATGAAGTCGTCGTAGAGGAATCGCTGGCGCTTGGCGAGGCGGCACATGAGCACGTGCTCGTACTTGCGCGGCATCTGGCGCTCCACGTCGGCCTTGAGCCGCCGCAGCAGGAAGGGGCGCAGCACCTCGTGCAGCCGCCGCACCTGCGCCGCGAAGGGGCTCAGTCTCTAGGCGGGTGTTGGGGCCAGAGAGAGAGAGAGAGAGAGAGAGAATCACAGGACTGACCAGCGCGTCGTTGTAGCACTGAGAGCCCTCCGCGATGCCGGCCACCGGGTTGAACCACTCGCGGAACTCCGAGTGCGAGGCGAACACGTCCGGCATCAGGAAGTGCATGAGCGACCACAGCTCCAGCAGGCTGTTCTGCAGCGGAGTACCCGTCAACAGCAATCGCCTGTTCATTTTTAAAACCAATTAACAGTCAAATCAAATGTGAATATATAAAAAAAAATGTAAAATAAGTATGAAAAAAATATGAACAGTTGTAAACCAGAAATGGAAGAGACCAGAAAACTTACCTTTCTGTTTGGAAATTTAACAACATCTGCCACCTTTGGGACTTGAAGTTTTTAATGTTCTGAGCTTCATCAAGGATCAGATATTTCCATTTTTTTCTACGGAAACTTTGGTGGTCCTGCACTACCAATTTGTAGGATGTAATGCACACGTGAAAAGAGTTCGCCTTAGTCCAACCGACACGTTTCAACTTTCGCTCCTTGATTGTCCCGTAGTAGGTGAGTATCTTGAAGGCGGGGCACCACTTCTTGAACTCCATCTCCCAGTTGAGCACGACCGAGGTGGGCGCCACGACGAGGTGCGGCCCCCAGTCGCGGCGCTCGAGCGCCAGGTGCGCCAGCAGCGCGATGCTCTGGATGGTTTTGCCCAGGCCCATCTCGTCGGCCAGGATGCCGTTGAGGCCGCGCGCGTGCATCGTGGCCAGCCAGTGCAGGCCCACGTGCTGGTACTCGCGCAGCGAGTGGCGCAGCAGCCGCGGCACCGGCGTGCCCACCGCCGTCTCCGAGAGCGTGGTGCCCGTGGGCTGCAGCGACGCGGCCAGCGACGCCGCCGCCTCCACCTTCTGCTCGCCCGCCTCCGCCTCCGGCGCGTTCTCCGCCGCGGCCTCCGCCGGTTCGCTCTCCATCAGCGCCTCGAGCGCCTCAGAGCTGGACGAGCCGGACATGCTCCGAAGCTCGTCATCCGAATCATTCCGATTCTCGTCTTCCCCGTCCTCATCGTCGTCCGCGTCGTCGTCGTCGTCGTCGTCCCCGTCATCATCCCCGTCGCCGTCCGCCTCGGAGGCGGTGGAGGCGTCGGAGTCGTCCGCGGGCGCGGCGTAGCGGCGCATGAGCTCGTCGAGGCCCAGCTCGGCCTCGTCCCGCAGCGCGGCCACCTCGGCGGCCGTGTCCTCGGGCCGCTCGGCGCGCTCCTGCTCGGCGATGGTGTCCTCGTCGTCGGCCGAGTCGCCGTCGGGCCCGTAGTCGGAGGGCGGCGGCGAGTGCGCGGGCACGTAGCCGGGCGGCAGCAGGTCGCCGAGGGCGAGGCGCGACTCGCGGCGCAGCGCCTCCAGCTCGTCGCGGTGGTCTGCGGCCTCGTGGCCGGCCTCGCGCTCGGCCGCGGCGATGGTCTCCTCGTCGTCGTCGGAGCAGCCGCGCGGCTGGAACTCGTCGTCCGAGGGCGGCGTGTCGGGCGCGGCGTCCGCGGCCTCGCCGGCGGGCGGCGCGTCGGCCGCGGCGGGCCGGCTCAGGTTGGCGGCCAGCTGCCGCGAATAGCGTTCGGTGCGGTCCACGATGTAACTCAGTTGCTCGTCCAACGCTTCCTTACGAGCGCGCTCTACACGCCGTACACGTTTCCATTCCACCAACTGCAAAAATATTTTAATGTTATTTTTGAGAATAGGCAATCTATATCGGTAGGCAATATTTTAAGACGATCGAGGCATATACTTACTTTTTCGACGTTAGACCAAAACGTTCGTATTTCCTTGGCCGCAAAGGACGCAATCTTTTTCAACTGCAATTCTTGCGCCTTTTCAGCTTTTTGAGCAGCGAGCGCTTTATCTTGGAAATATTTTTGAACCGCTCTCGCGCACTGAAAACCCACACAGAATGTGGTTCATATCAATATTATTACGCAATGGCGTTCGGCCAAGATCTTATGTAGCAAAAATTTTGTGTGTACCTTCTTAGCCGCTTGCTTCTTCCATTTACGCTCGTGTGCAAAATCTTGCGCGAGCCAAGCCATCTCCTCGAGCAAGTAGTCCCAGTGCGTCTTGGGCCGCGGCGGCTCGAGCACGCGTGGCAGCCGACGCTCGGTCCAGAGGCCGGCGCGCGCCAGCTCGGCCACGCGCGCCGCCACGTACGCCTCCTGCTTGGCCTTCTCGACCATCTCGTCGGCCACGCTGATGACCGCGGGCACGGCGGGCGGGGCGGCGGGCGCGAGGGGCGCGGGCGGTGGCGGAGGCGCCGGCGCGGCCGTGGCGCTGGGCGGGGCGGTGGGGACGGGCGCGGGCGCGGCGGCCGGCGGCGGCGAGGGCGCGGGGGGCGGCTCGGAGGGCGGCGGCGCCGGCTGCGGCGGCGCGGGCGCCGGCGCGGGCGGCTGAGCAGCGGGCTGGACGGGCGGCGGGTCATGGTGCGGCGAAGCGAGCGCGGCCACGCCGAGCGGTGGGCGCCGCGCCTCTATGAAGGCCACGAGCTGCGGAGCGGGCGGCCGCTTGCGCCAAGCCGCGTAGTCCATCATGTTGCCGCCCGCCTGCAGGAAGTACAGCTCGCTCAGTTGCTCCGTGAACCTGCAACCGAGCGCGGCGCTAGAGCGGCGACGCGTCCACCGACGCGCAATACGAGGCCAGAGGGGCCGGCGATCTCTCACCTTTCGCGGAGGTTTTTCAAACGAAGCAACTTGTACTCGAGGACGCGTTTGCGCAGCGAGTGGCCGTCGTCAGCGACCATCTTGGGGCGCTTATGCGGCGGCTCGTCGGGGCGGTCGGGGCGGTCGGGGCGATCGGGCCGCGCAGCGCCGTTGAGCGCTGCCTCCGCTGCGCCCGCGCCCCCACCGCCGCCACCTCGCTCCACACCCTGCTTTTCACAGCTTTGAGTAAAAGACTCCATAGACAACTTAGTCAATTATTAAGATACACACCTTGTAAGTATTAAATGTTAAGAAAGGAACTTCTTCTTCTTTAGTTTTCTACCCCTCCGCTTCTATAAAGTATAGAAGCGGAGGGGTAGAAAACTAAAACAATATATATTTGTCATTAAAATATTTCATATACCTATGTCAGTAAGTAATATGGCAGTAAATTATTTGTCGTCGAACAAAAGAACAATAAAATGACCAAAAAGTTTTTCTTCGGATCGGGGTCGAACTCGACTTGCCCGGTTTTGCATCTTCCCCGTTTCATATATTCAATGAACGGCCGTTATTAGGTGTCTTTTTGCAGTCTTTCAACCGATTTTGCATCTTTCACTAATGCATTGTCGTAAGCTACACATAACATTTAGAATTAGTGTTATCGTGACCATTACCTATCTACTATACAGGATACTATCGATAGTATCGTGGGAGGCTTTCGAAAAAGTACACAGATGATCCCTATATCTTTTATAGATCGTGATTATATTTTACTTTTATATTATTATAGGAATAAACAAAAAAATATAAAGTGTATGAAAGCAATCAAAAATTTTAAAAAAAAACTCCTTCTTTAATTTATACCCCGGATAAGACAAATATGATGTGTCTGCCGAAGAAGTAAAAAAAAAAAAGAAAATATCTGAGATAAATAGCAAGGACAGAGTTGCCGTCTCAAAGTGGTAGTGGACGGCATTGAGGTTGGAGTGAACATTACAGAAATCCACAGAGAGCGTGGTAGGGGTTGCCGTAGTGTGCCAGCTATGTTTGCCTCGAGCAGAGGAATTTTGCGGAATTTTGTCCCCTGCCTTGATATTTATAGTATTTACAGTATATTATTATTTTATTGCATATAGTATTTTATTATAGTATTTTATTTTTATTTCACAAAATATGAAAGTGAATCCCCGTGGGATAATTTTCACTTCCAGACAGTCGCAGTTGTCATACCTTAAAAATCATTTCGGAATAGCACTGATATTGTGTGGCAGTCTTAATCTAAACATTAATTCAAAAACTCCGGTTAATTCACTTTTACGTGCAAATGGCGGTTAAAAATAACATTAAAGAATTAGATTCAGTGCACATAGATTGTCACACAATACAAGTGCCTGAACAGTGTAATAGGGTCTTAAATGAGACTTACAATTTCAAAATACTAACTTTTAATATTCGTAGCGTAAATAAGAACTTTAATAACATCCTTATCACTAAAAAAGTTTAATGCCGATTTTGTTATATTAACCAACGAGAAGCCATGCTTGCCTCGACCATATCATTGTTAATAAGACAGAAACGTCATTGGTGTTGTTTGATGTTCGGACATTACAGATCATGACATGGTTTTACTTGGAGTTAACAGACATAAAAAAATACAGTGAAATAGAACTACTTTAAGGGAGACATAGACTCCATTAGAGATGAGCTGCAGGAAGTGAATTGGTCTACACTTTTAAGCAATCGAGATATCCACGAAAAGTACAGTACTATACTTTTTCTACTGAGCTCCGGTAAAATTGTAAACAAACATACTAAAAATGTCCGAATAAGTCATTCAAAATTCAATATTGAACCCTGGATTACTCCAGGTTTAATACAGTGTATGAATCATAGAGACAAAGTACACATGAAATCCCGTAAACACCTAGACGATACACTTCTAGCCACAAGCAAGAATTATTGTAATAACCTTCTCTGCAAGTTGAAAGTAGAATATAAAAATAAAGAAATTTTTAATAACACGAAAAATCACAAAAAGTTGTCTCTTACTCTTCTCTTCCTAGACAATTACAAAGCGGCAGGCCTAGACGGATTCACTAACAGCTTGATAAAACATGTTAGGGACCTGATCTAACAACCACTTACTGATTTATTTAATAACAGTATTTAAACTGATACCTTTCCTAATATCTGGAAAACAGCCTCCATAACTCCCATAAATAAAAATGGATCTAAAATTGCCGTAGGAAATTGTCGACCAATTTCTCTACTTACCACCTTCTCAAAAATATTGGAAAAAATTGTCAATAAAAGACTTGTTGAGACCATCATTTCTCCTAGACAGTTTGGCTTCAGAAAAGGCGAATCAACAGAAGATGCTATCACCCTGTAACCACAAGCTTGGCTTCACATCTCTATAATAAAAGAGCAGCAATAGGCATCTTCCTAGATTTGAAGAAAGTCAAAAGAAAGAAAAAGGATAGGGATGGAAACAGTGTCAAAACAATGTTTCCAACCCTATCCTAATCAGAAAGTTGCAAGACCAGTTTGGTATAAGAGGCACATCTCTTGGATGGTTCAAAAGTTACTTGAATAATAGAAAACAATTTGTTAAAATCTCGGACCATTACAGTAGTGAAAAGGGGATTAGATTTTGAGTTCCACAGGGTAGTATCTTAGGCCCAACACTCTTCATAATGTATATGAACTGCATACTTGACATAACCAGAGCAGAAACCATATGTTACGCAGATGATACTGTAATAGTGTTTGATGGCTCTTCCTGGCGTGAAGCGTTTGAGAATGCAAACTCAGGAATGAAGGAAGTTCATACATGGCTACAACAAAATTTACTTGCGCTCAATATTAAGAAAACTAAATATTATGCTTTCACAAAACTACTGACTTTTCCAAATATTATATCAAACATCATATATAAAAAATCATGACATACGGTAACCAATTATTAAGCTAAGTTTTGATCTCATCTCAATATTATGATTATCCTTATTCACAAAAAGGCAAAGGCATATTATGGAAGAATTTAAACATAAGCTAGAAAAATACATATATTATTATAACAAAAAATAATTACAATTATTTACATATTATTTATATACCTAGCAAATAAAATAAAAGTATCTGCAAATTTTTGCAAACCAATATCTAGTAACAAACTAAGCAAAGCTTGTATGGTACTAATAATGGTAAATGTAAATAACTTTAACTTGGGCGTAATTCAATTAAAATAAATTTTAAACGATAGAGAAAAATCTCGAATGAATTTATCAAGCAGAATTCAGCGGTCGCTTATAGTTTTCGAAAAAATAAATAATGAAACAGTGTGATTTTTACTATAGAAATCCGCCATTTTTTTGTTGTCAATATGCCAATTCTGCCCGTATTTCTTGGTGGTCATAAAAAAAAAATAACCTAACCTCGACTTTTTCTAACCTAATCTATCTGAGTCGGATTTGCTCTGTGTCGGTTCTGTGACTCATTAAATAAATAAAAAATCGGACTATCGATATGAATATGATGTCGCCCGCTTCCTATATTTATCATGTTGGCAGAGCTCTGTATTGAGTTTTTGAAGTCAAATAAATAAAATGGTGGATTTCTTAGTAAAAATAACAAATTATATATATTTTTTTAAGTAAAAAGTGTAAAGTTTGTCATAGAATTTATATAAAGTCTATTAAAATGTTAAAAAAGGATCTCATGTCAATTAAGGCTGAAAATTACCACTTATACTTTTTTATACTTTTTTTTCTAATTTATTATAAAAAAATTATTGAATTCATTTACATTTGTTTTATTGTATAACAATAGTTAAATACAAATACAATTTTAAATCATCCACATGCATTTTTGATAAATTTTTAATTTCGAAGTTGTAGCCTGTGAGACATCATGTCCCTAAATGTTATAAAATTGTCATGTCCCTAGTTAATACGTCTATATAATAAATAATAATAAGGTAATAGTCCCTAATATACTTTTAACATTACATTTTATTAAAGAACTGGTTTACATAATAATTAAGTTTTACCATTTAAAATATTAAAACCAAGCAAATTCACTGATTCTAAGCTTGTATGGTTATTATACAAATTAAATGTCAGTGAAAAAACATTGATACCATTTTTTTTACAAGAAACAGCTGGGCTGCAGTTCACTGTGGTTACTAGGCATTTATTATTTTATGTATGAGAAAAATAATAAAGTTACGTTGCACTTCGTTTCCATTTACATTAATTATAACATACCATGAGTGGCGGAGCTGCACCGGCTGCACGACGCGAAAAGGTATCATCGCCACAACTCATCGTGCGACATCGCGATAAAATAGTATTTTCTTATTGTTTTGTAACAAACTGCACCAAACACAATCTAGGAATAAACGCACTGCACTTCACTTTTTCTTAGACGCTATACCGATTGTTTTGGGAAAATTTAAGTCTTGTGTTCATCCGTGAGTTTTCCCTTATATTTTAAAAGAAACAGAATTGTTAATAATTAATTTGTTCGGCACATGTAGGAGGGTTCGAGTAATGGTACAAAATTAGATTAGCTACAAATGCTACAAAAACCGCCACAAATCCTTCTGACAAATACACACTGGCAGCCATATTGGTTACTGAATTCCATGTATTGAACTCTACATCGGTCACAGTATTTTGTCTGGCAATCCTTAATTTCCATCATTATATTAAGTCATCGTATTATTTTGGCCACGAAATAAAATTAAATTTCGTTGACTATAAAAGTTTTTTAATATATTTCAAAGAGAAAATTAACATTAAAGTCTGTACAGACATAATTTTTGTTTTTTAAATCATTCTTTGTGTAGATGTTTTATGATTTTATGTATATTGAGCTGAGAGTGAGACTGACAAGTTGCCAGTATGTCTAATATTTAACAAATATACTAATTCCATAGGGGACCCGCAACTAAAAAGTTAGTAAAATAATAAGGTTTCATCATTTTATAATTAAATATTAATCCATCTGATATCTGAGCGAAGCACAGAAGTTATAATATTGATATTATTTGTGCTCTAGATAATTTAACGAAAGTTAAAGTAAAGTAGTAGTAGTCGAATATAAACATTTATAGTCTCTAAATATCGCCCACAGTAGGCTTTTTCTGTATAGAGGGTATTAGGGCATAGTCTCCCACTGGGCCCCACTGCAGATTGGCATCGAGACTCGCATTTCAATTTTCGAATAAGTGTTTCATAATAATTCTTTAAAAATCCTTTAGGTGACAAAAAAATTACAATATTCGTCTTAGTTTCTTTGGTACTCGTTTGGTTATATATAAGTTTATTTAAAAATATTATATTCAATGGCCTTGGCAATTTGACAACGGCTCAACTTGAAATACTTCGCGAACGTCAAGAAGTACTGTTGATAGGAGATTTTACCGATAGAGTTACAGTTTTAATTATCCTACTATTCGACAAGTAGACGCTTACTATGCTCACGTGATAGCTGAGAACAGCGTACTAATTGTGAAAATAAGCTATTTTCGAGTTCTCAGCTATAATGAATACATCTACTTGACGTTTTCGAGTGTACAGACGGTACAGTGATATTTTGTTGTGTGCTTGCGCAAAACAAGGCATATTTATGCGATAGCAGCAACTGCAGTTGATTTGCTGTAATTTTTTGAAGACTTCCGTTTTCTATCTCTGCTGCTCATCATCAGATCATCTCATGATGCTGATCATCATGAAATTTAACTGAGGCCATTTCGTCATAAAACACTTTCTGACAAAAAAAGAAATTTGCATATCTATCTATATATGACCGAGTTAGGCCCGAACATACATAAAAAAGTGAACAGCTGAAAGTACGTACTTATCTACGCACCTAAGAAGTTATAATTCTTGAGTAATTCTAGTAAAAAGAGAAAAATAACTAAAAATGTTATCCCTAGTGCCAGAACTGTTTTTTTTTATAAAATGACATTAAATACAAATGATAACAGTTTAATTATATAACTTGGAATTGTTCGTAAACATTAAAAAGTTGATATATATATATATTGACCAACTTTATCAAGTCGCTGTCGGAATGCGCGTGATAGAATAATGTACCAAATTAAATATGTATTGTTTTAAATATTTTTCACGCGCGCATTATAAAAACCCGCCAAGTGCGGGTCGGGCTCGCACACGCGGGGTTCAGTAGCATTATCTATAAACAAACCGGCTAAGTACGAGTCGGACTCACGAATGAACGGTTCCATACCATTATCTATAAAAACGGCTGTTGTATGGGAGCCCCACTTTAATATTTTTTATTCAATTTTTTAGTATTTGTTGTTATAGCACGAACAGAATTAAATCATACTAGCTGGCCCGCGCAACTTTGTATGCGCCAAATCTACCGGGTCCTTATGTTTCTACTTTTAACATAGCGCCATCTATTGGATACTTATTCAATCCATCCGATAAATATATCTTTCACCGCTGTACTCCCGTTTTACCCATTGGGTACGGAACCCTAAAACTTTCGCGAAAAGAAGTATAACTTCAAAAAAAGCAGGATTACTTAATCGAAAGCGATTCGTGGTTTTCTGTAAAGGAAAGATATCGCCAAGAATTGGTACAAAACGATTAAAAAACCAAGTAGATAAGGCGTCGAGATTTTTGCGTGATGAGGATATCGACCACTTAGTTTAGTGGCTAGAGCGTTTGGACGCGTAATGACGCGTTACCTGTAAGGATGTATGATGAGTCATATCCCATTCAAAGGAGCGGGTGCAGACAGAATACCATCAATATTTGCAGTCAAGTGTGCAACGGCCTTAGCATACCCTCTATCATTAATATTTAATAAATCCATCAGTACCGGTTCTTTTCCTTTATTATGGAAAACGTCTCTAATTGTTCCTATCCTTAAATTAGGAAATGCTGAATCTGTTACCAACTATAGGCCCATTTCTATTTTAGCCACATTTGCAAAAGTTTTTGAAAAAGTTGTTTATCCCGTCATAAATTTCCATTTCAAGCAAATAATTTCGCCATATCAGCACGGATTTTATAAAAACAGATCAACTTCAACAAATTTATTATCCTTTTTGGACACAATAACTTCTGCAGTAGATTCTCGCAAACACATTGACGTGATCTATACTGACTTCAGCAAAGCATTTGATAAAGTTCCTCACAATGTACTTATTAAAAAAATGGCTCAGTATGGGATCATAGGTCGCTTGCTTGAGTGGTTCGCATCATATCTATCCGACAGAATATCGATAGTTATTGTCAATGGCTTTCAGTCACAACCTTTTAAAACTTTGTCTGGAGTTCCACAAGGGTCTCATTTGGGGCCTATTCTATTTAACATTTTCATCAATGACATAAGTCAATGTTTCATACACTCCAACTTTTATTTATTTGCAGATGATTTAAAATTCTTTCGTTGTATAGAGACCTGTCGTGATTTTGCTCTACTCCAACAAGATTTAGATAGACTTGTCTCTTGGTGCGATTTAAACGGAATGAACCTTAACATCGACAAATGCTACTCGGTCGGGTTTACTAGAAAAAAGTCACCAACACTAGGCTCATATAATATTAAGAACATTCCTCTTAAGAGAACTTCCGAAATTCGTGACTTGGGTGTCCATCTTGATTGTAAGTTACGGTTTCATTGTCACATTGATAAAATATGTAAAAACGCTTTTAAAAATTTAGGTTTCATCCTGCGCAATTCGAGAAATTTCAAAAATCCTTCGACTAGCATAATTTTATACAACACCTTCGTTCGCAGTGGTTTGGAATACTGCAACGTTGTGTGGAACCCATTTTACAACGATTATGTAAAAAGACTAGAAAGCGTCCAAAAACGTTTTATGTGGCATCTAGCGTATAAATATGGTTTAGCAAAAAAACTACCTAACTATAGTGACAGGCTAAATCATTTTGAAATGAAAACACTCGTCGAGCGAAGATGTATATTAGACAACCTGTTCTTGTATAAACTTATCAACGGTGTATTGGATTGTCCTGAACTTTGGACACGTATTAATTTAGCAGCTCCCTCTAGATTGAAACGCATTAAAGTCAGAAAAATGTTTGTAACTCATCGGTCTAAAACGAATCTTGGCAATAACTTATCACTCAACCGTTTGTCAAAAACTTACAATAAATTGTCTGGTACTTATATGACCATAGACATTTTTAACGACAGTATAGACAAGTTCAAGAGAAATCTGTCCACTTACAGTCTTTTATTTAATTAGAGTAAATTTCTTCTTTATCTCTACAGTTTTCTTTTTTTGTTATTTTGTTAAAAATTATGTTATTTTCGGTTTTGATTATATGTTTATTTTAGTGTAAAGTCAGTCAAATACTGTATTAATTCTTTGTTAGCATTTCATCATCATCATCATATCAGCCGTAGGACGTCCACTGCTGAACATAGGCCTCCCCCATTGACTTCCATTGTTAGCATTTAGTATACTTCAATTATAATTTTTAATTATTCTTTTTTTAGCAGTTGTCAATATAATAACTTTTGAATGTCGTTTCACCTGTAATTGAGATACCATTTAGTTGAAGATACTATGTAGGTACTTATTTATGTTTTAAGCTTGTTTTGATGTGTATCTTGTTGGTGAAGTAAATAAATAAATAAATAAAATAAATGAGTAATTTGACATTGAATAAGAGCTTATGACAAGCCGAAAATTACATACAGAATTTGACTAAAGGTGCAGGTTCAAACCTGGAACGGGCGATTTTAATTTTCTTCCAAAGAGACTATCAGTAAAATGATAATAATTTAGATACATTCTACACAATATTCTATACAATCACTACATACATTGTATGAATGCTTTTAAAAGATCAAACCTATTATTAAAATATTTTTAATGGGGAATGTAAGATCACGCAACTCGGCTGTGGCACCAATGGGCTGGTCTGTCCGGGTAAATACCACAGAACCACACACCTTACAGAAGACTGGCCTGAAGTGGAAGTATCATACTTCTGCGTTTCGTTTGGTGAGTTTAGTAGCCGGGGCCACAATTCCACGGGTGTTGTAATGTCCATGGGTGGCGGTTTTCACTCAATGTTCTCACATGAAAAAATGTTTTATTTTAACGAATTCGTTATCTAGCTTCAACTGAAAACTAGGCATTTCTTTGACAGGCAGCTAAAGTGGACTGTTTAGTGTTTTTTCTATTTGACTTTGACAGTGACATTTGGTTGCGAACCGTTTGTATTTGCAATCGTTGATATAAGTTTTACTTAGATTTCTTGAATACTTTACAACTTTGTTGTAGTAGTACTTCATTCATGTCGATACTAAAATGTTGAAAAACTTTTAAGTAATTAAATTATCCAACTTAAAATTCTATTGTACCATTAAATGATGATCGTGCACTTATTTTCAAGTATATACTAATTTCTGTGTAAACTCATGAGATGTGTTGGCAATAGGAAAAGAACTCATTTCGTGTTTTAATGTAAGTAAGCGGCGCGACGTGAACACCAAGTCAAATTTCAATCAGTGTACTTCTGATTGAATTTTGATTTGGTCTGGTGTAAAGACTTGAAAATTGTAATGTTGCATTTCACTTAATACTATTTTTGTTAGTAAGTTATAATTAATTTCATAAATTTTAACGTATTTGTTATCATCAACTTCTAAATAGTTTGCTGGAACTTGTATATTCCTTAATTTAGGGAATATGGCTTGACCTATTATGTGCATGCCTTATTTACAAATGCAAGACTGTATAGATGGTACAAGCACTCTTTAGTTATAGTTTTTTGTGTGTCTGCAAATAGAAATATATAAGATTTCATTGCATTATCTCAAGTTATTTCCAATTTAAGCTATTGAATTAAATAATATTTTACCCATTAAATATAATGATTATTTTTTTCTTATAATTATTCACATCTCTTTGCTTTAATCATTTTCAGTATATAATGAGTTACCAGGCTATTAATATTTTTTTGGTTCTATTATTATTTTTCACTGCATCTTCATCACTATAGAGCCAATAGGTTTGGTTCACAAAGATAATATATTGTATAAAAATATTTAAAAATGATTTATATACCATATTAAACTAATGTAGATTAGTCAGGTTCAAATTATATTTCTGATAAATAGTTTGTTTATATGTTTGATCATTTTTGATAATTGTTTATATATATTGTTTAACAAGTTATAATGTTAATATGTCATAATAATGAATTATAAATTAAGTAGATTGTTATTTACAGGTGCTTTGCAATTAATGACAAAAAGTTGATAAAATTGTTACAGGGTCACTTGCTTTTTATTACGTAAGAGCTACTGATACATTATTCGTAAGTTTAATATACATTTTCATTTAGATTTATGGTGAAGTTATAAACGTAAATTTTATTTCTGATACATAGGTTTATTGAATTCAATTTACTTTCAAAGTATAACCTACCACATAAAACTTGGAATAGCTTTTGTAGAACATAAGGTTATTGTACTCACAACTATTTTTATACTCTATAAAAAAATACTTGCACACTGCAATTGTGAAAATGTTAGATGTACAAAATGGTCACAACAAATGGCTTATTTCACAAATTAAGAATGTTCAAGAAACTAAAAAATATGATCTATGATTTATTTTAAAATATCATTAAAATTCTGTGTTAGCTCATGCAGGTCTAGCATTAAATAAAAAGAATTTACTTAGCGCTTTCCCACTAATGTCAATGAAATAAGGTGAGGGCGCGCGGCGATGTGGCGGGGCGTGCGGTGGCGCGGCGCGGCGGCGCTGGCGCTGGGCGCGCTGCTGGTGTGGGCGTGGGCGCGGCGGGGCGCGGCGCGCGGCGCGGCGAGGCGCGCGGGCGAGCGCGTGGAGGGGCGCGAGCTGCCGCTCATCTTCATCGGCGGCGTGCCGCGCTCGGGCACCACGCTGATGCGCGCCATGCTGGACGCGCACCCCGACGTGCGCTGCGGCCAGGAGACGCGCGTGGTGCCGCGCATCCTGCAGATGCGCCAGCACTGGATGCGTTCGCAGAAGGAGAGCATGCGCCTCGAGCAGGCGGGCGTCTCCAAGGAGGTGCTCGACAACGCCATCGCCGCGTTCTGCCTCGAGGTCATCGTCCGCCACGGCGAGCCAGCCCCGCGCCTGTGCAATAAGGACCCACTCGTCCTGAAGATGGGCACTTATGTGCTGGAGTTGTTCCCCAACGCCAAGTTTCTCTTCATGGTTCGTGATGGGCGAGCGACTGTTCACTCAATTATATCTCGAAAGGTATGATACTTAAGTTAACTATAATGAAACATTATTTTATTTTACTACAAATAGTAGTCAGAACATCAAATCAAAATCAGTGTTGTGGTTTACAGTATTAAAACATTACAACACAAAATTTCAGTATTATTATATTTCATATGTATAAATTATATGTCATCTAATAAACCTAGTCCTCATGGCATGTGCTAGAGAAACTAGTTCCCAAAGCTTTCGACAGTCAAAGTAGAAGTCGTAAGTGCATCAAAATGGGATTTTATCATATTTGAGGAGTTAAAGTAGATTTATAATTATTAATAAAGAAAGTAATTGGTAGTGATTGGTGCAGGTGACCATCACTGGGTTCGACCTATCGAGCTATCGGCAGTGCCTAACGAAGTGGAACCACGCGGTGGACCTGATGCATCAGCAGTGCAAGCTGCTGGGGCCGGCGCAGTGCCTGCTGGTGCGCTACGAGTCGCTGGTGCTGGCGCCCGCCGCCACCATGCGCCGCGTGCTCGCCTTCCTGCAGCTGCCCTGGCACGACGCCGTGCTGCACCACGAGCGCTACATCAACCAGCCCAACGGGGTCGCACTCTCCAAGTGAGCGACGTTCCGACTTAACACGGCGCGATCTCAGCCGCAGTGTGCCTTGACCGTTCGTTGTTTGTGTCGTTCACAGCGTGGAGCGCTCTTCGGACCAGGTGGTACGGCCGGTGAACCTGGACGCGCTGGACAAGTGGGTGGGCCAGCTGCCGGCGGACGTGCGCGCCGACATGGCCGAGCTGGCGCCCATGCTGTCCGTGCTGGGCTACGACCCCTGGGCCAACCCGCCGCGCTACGCCGCCTTCGACCCGTCCGATGCGGGCGCTGCGGTCGACGCGGCCGACGAGCACGAGCCCCACCCCGCCCGAGAGGACGATGCCGCCGAACACGCGCCCCCCCCCCTAGTATAGGCTCTCCCATTCCTCATGTCTCTTTACATGTGTCGAAGTGCAATAACAAATTTCAGATGACGGTTTGAATAATCATATTTTAGTAATAAAACTATGGTGCAACATGTATTCTGTGTGTTAAGTGTTGGAGTTTATTGTATATATTTGTAAATAGATTGTATTGTCCCTGAATTTGCCAGTGAGCAGAGAGATACTACTACAAATATTGTTACAGATTGTGGACTTTTGAGACCGAAATGTCGCCTTTGCAACTAAATAAAATTTTATGAAACGTTGAGTGCTGTCTTATTTATTACAAACATTATGAAACAACAACATATATGGTTTTATGCTGAGCAATAAGGATTTTATTGAGACGTTTTTATTTAAATTTCAACAGTGGTAAATATACAGCGTGTCGTTACCATCGCGACAATAAATGAACACACATATAGAGGATAACTTTTTAAAATTGTATTAAACATTTACATTCTTCAAACATCAATATTTACCGAGTTATTAAATTTTCCAAAACAAACAATTTTAGAACACCCTTACGTATAAAACTGTAAAGTTAAGTTCATTTGTAAAGGTCACAAAGCATATGAATGGGTTGAATGAATTTAAAAGAGACAAAACATACTGTTAGAAGGAGAGACTTGTAATGCGACACTGTGGCGCGAGTTGTATAGGATGTTACAAATTTTGTTTCTTTTTTACGTAATATATATAAATTCCATACAAGCAATTAAAATGTGTTTTATTAATGGAAACAAAAGGAGACTCTAGCATCCATTGTGAGAGACTGATCTTACTGAGAGACTGATTGATAGAGACTGATCATCGTAAAACCTTCGTTATATACCATGAAAAAATTTACTGTTGCTTTATTATTTTCAAAATTCCCTTATTATGAAATCAAATATAGCTTCATAAACCACTAGTTTTGGTTTCTTACCAAAATAGTCATCTACAATTATTTCATTTGTTTTTTATCATTGAAATATGTATTTGACAAACTTTAAAATTTGTCCTCTTTTCTACTCATACAGTTGCTATTTTAAGGTAAAACGTAAATCTTCAGATAATAATTTTTAAGGAAATAATTCACACAACAAACTCACTCATTTTTTGACTTTTAGACAAATCTAGGGTGAATCACAAGCCTTTTCTTAATTTAAACGTTGTCAGTATCTGCAACTCTATCCAACAGCAGACAGAATAGATCATTTAATTGGAATCAGATATATATTTTTTATATAAAAGTACTCTTTGATTGGAATAAAATAGAATTTCAGATATATAAAAGTATTCTTTCCTTGGAATAGATGAAGTGGATTCCCATTTTTAATTATCACTCTGAATGAAACTTTCTGATCATCGATCAATGCACTTTTATTTTTATTTTCACTTTTCACATAAATTTTATTTTATAGTTAATATAGGTGGTATACACATATGTATATATATGTATATATATATATATATATTATATATATAAAAAAAATTAAAGATATAATAAAATGTATATTTGATGTGATTTTAAGAGTACCTAAAAACGCCATCTATCGTACAATGGATAAATTAAATACATACTTATTAAAGGTAATGAAATATTTAAAAAGATTATTTATGCGGTGTGTAGATAGCGTTTATTTTTTCTAGAACTTCTTATGCTTTACTAATGTTCTATTTTTTTTTACTATTTACTCTGTGTTATCTCGTGGCCAGGGGGCTTACTTGAATATCAACGATCATGTTTTACGTTGTCTGATGGGTGAAGAAAAACGTATCGTAGCTGCCAGTTCCGTATATACATATATATTTTTAAACATTGCCCTTACTTCAGGATAACCTTATCCTGTGTTGTAAGGACCTTTTACAAACATAAATTTCACGTGGACAAACACCCAGATGCGAAACAACTATCTGCGGGTCGCACAATAGTTATTCCGTGTGGGAATCGAACCCACGACCCCCGACGCCGAAGCCAAGACCTTGGCAACTGCGCCACGGTGTCATCAAAATAATAGCATTCTAGAATTGTAGCAAATTTACATGTTGAGGCATGTCTTACTTTACTCTCCCCATCAAAGCAATAAAAACCACAGTTGGCATATTTTTCTGTGACTTTTGACTTTGTGATTTTTTAAGAAAGTATGTGAACGCAAATAATTATTTCCTTTACATAACTAGATAATTTAATATTAATCTATCTCGAGAGCTATAGCAAAGCAATTTGCCAGTTAATTGCTCGGTGGACCAAATAATATCAATAGTATGATTAGTATGGGTAGTTTTAATATCTATAAGATAATTCGTAAAGGTGTATTATTCATGGTAAAACTTTTTAGTTATTAACTAATAGATAATAACTAAGATAATATGAAATATTAGAGATTTTTAACTCCAGACATTTCAAGTACTTTGCTGCATCCACGGTAACAAGAAAGACTGTGGTGTTTGAGACCCTAATTTTATAGTTGGGTAGCCTATCCAGGGCCGGATTTAGGGGAGGGCAACCGGGGCAATAGCCCCGGGGCCTCCACAAACGAGGGGCCCCCACAATAGAGACTTCGGAAAAAAATTAAATGCAGACTAGTAAACAATAGTAAGCAATTTTTCCTTTTATATGTTTTTTGCGTTTTACTTTTACCTACAGTACTTTGTACAAACATGGTTAAATTAAGTATTAACAGAAATGAATAGAAAATAATTTAGGGCCAAGGGGCATCCTCTCCTTTGTTGCCCCGAGGCCTCCAGACCTCTAAATCTGGCCCTGACCCTTTCGACAGCTTTTCTAATTTTTTTTTCGTCCCATCTATTTATACGATCTAAAGTTGGTGGTACCGCCTGTTTTAAATATTTCCCATTGAATTTAAGATGTTTCAACAGTCTTATATATGAATACATATCTTTGATCTTCTGTTTTATTTGGCTACCAAAGGAGATTTAATTCCTAGCCTAACATATCAAGGCTAGGAATTAAATCTCCTTATCTCTCCAATTTTACCTTACATTGATGGGTAAGGTAAAATTTATTTATCTATAACCATTTAGTTTGTATAAGCAGAAAGAGAAGATGATTAATAAAGAAAAACCTTCTAGATCGCCATTAAAACTGAAGGTTGTTGTTCTGATTTAGAGGTTTATTTTCTTATGTAAATTGATGGCAAGTGAGCTGGCGGTTTTACTGATGTTAAGTTATAACCGTCCCCCATGAATATTTGCAATACCATTGCTTGCAGATGCGTTGCCACCTTTTAATAAAGTGCGGCTCGGCAACCTCACTCACCAGATGAAATGCGGAAGTATAAACATTTCTACTTCACCACCGCCTTCTGTGACGTCATGGTACTCCCCCGGACGGACCTAGCCATTCGTGCAAAAGCGAACTGTTGCATAGCCCTACAATAGTTAATAGCTATTATATTATTATATTTGGGAAAACTTTATTGTATTAATATTATACAATAAAGTTGTTTTAAAACAATAAGCTCTTAACCAGCACTTATTGTGCATTCACAAATTATATATGATGGGACGCGGATGATTTTGACGTAATGTACTATAAGTAGAAACAAACTTGTAACATTAAACATTTTTGAACCACTTCAATTGATTATTCCAGTCCAACATTATTGCCACAGCAAATTATTTCTTTAAACCATCGCCAATGTCGTTTCATAGATGTCGTTTACATAGGAAATGATTACCAGGTACTTACTATTCGTAATTGAGGAATTAACTTTCGTTTACAAAAAAGGCTCCTTATATTTTCAGGATTTATTGTTTTATTTTCTAAATGAAAAGGCTTTGTTAAAGTCTATGAGCACATAAGTGCTAAATATAAATTTAACTTAAGCTCGGTTAAACGTCGTCTTAGTCGCATCCGAAATTGGATAGGTTAAACAATATTTAGGTGCTCAATATCCTGAGTGAAAGCCCAACCAAAGCCCAACACTCCTCGTCAATTTGCTTCCGACCAAGTGCCATCAATGCGTGCTGAACTTCAAAAATTATTTCACATTCATCGTAGTATGCAGTAAAAATAGGTTCGGTACATAGATGGTAGTTTCTTTGTCAAAAATATAAACGTACGAATATACTGAACGCAGTCTTATCGCGATTTACACAAGACTTCCGTCAAGTGTTATTTCATAAATCCTGCGCTGTGATGATGGATTTGTGTCTAGATGGTTCGAAACCTATACCTTCTCTTTTGATCAATTGTTCCAATGTACTTCAACTTATGCGTATGTTGCATTGACCTACGAGGTAAAAAGGCAGAATCACTGAAGGTTTTCCTTCTATTGTTGTTTGCGTATACGGTAAATCCACCTCTGAATTTTCTTCTAGCTGAATATGAGAAGCAAGGAAAATTGCAGATTGAAGTGTTCAAAACTTTATAGAATGGTGGTATTCGCGTTAGAGATGAGCTCGCAACCCATTTCACATGTCCAAAATACGATACGTTTAGTGCATTTTAGAAATTGAAATCTATTTAATTCGTGATGAATCTACAAGTGGAATACAAATATATAAAATTTTATTCAAAGGCCGCGAGGTGTAAGCATAATTTAATAATCATCGCTCATTGTTAGGGCGAGAACCGAAATGTTGACGAATGGTCTGCATTTACAGACGGAGTGGTGTGGTGTGGTGCGGTGTAGCGGGTGGCTTGCGCTGCGGCCGCGGTGAGGTGGTGGCGGAGTAGCAGTGGTGGTGGGTGAGTGGGGCGCGCGACGCTGCCGCCGTCCGACGGACCGAACTGGGAGCCGAGCGTACGACACGACAGTGCACCGCCGACACTCGCGGGCAGAGGACGCGTTGAGAGCGCTACGGACTCGCTTCGCACGTGCTCATTTTTCCGTAGGATATGTTTACATCGCGATCTGTGCCCCAAGTGATATACGACGTCAACAGAATAAGATTCAACTTTATCGACTCGAAGTAATAACTTTTAGAAGCGTGTGTGAAATTGTGAGGATAAAGTTTGCGAAGTGCGGGAATTGAATATGCGGTGCATCGAGTGCGGCCGGTGAGTGGGCGCATCGCAATGCTGTCCGCGTCTACGCTCGTCCTGTTGGGCTGGCTGTGGGCGGCGGCCGGCGGCGCGAAGCTTGCGCCTCTGGATGTGCCGCGCTGCTGCTCCGCCACCACGCGGATGGAGCCGGAGGCCCTTCGCGCGACGATGCTGAGCCGGGAGCGCGCCGCCGCCGCGTGCCGCCCGCCCGCAGCGGACGCACCCGCCTGGGCGCCGCTGGTGTACGCGCCCGCCCGGAACACATTCCTGGAGCGGGGACGGCTGCCGCAGCACTGGCGCTTGGTGGACGCCGCTCTGCCCAACTGTGGCGAGCTGAGGGTGCTGCCCGAGCACGCCGCGCCGTACGCGCTGCTCGCCAACAACGCTTCGCTGCTGGTGCGCGGCACCGTGCACGCACTCCCGCCGAGTCGCTACTGCGCGGACGCGGGTGGCGCGCTCGTGTGCGAGGAGGACGTGCCTCGCGGGCCGAGCAAGTGCTGCGCCGAGAGCCACGGCTTCGACGGCGCCCACTGCGTGGAGGAGGCGGAGGGGGCGGCCGCGGCGTTGGAGGAGCTGCGCGCCCTGGCCAACGGCAGCGCGGCGGCGGTGGGCTTCGGGTGGCCCTCGTGCGCGGAGGGCTCGCGGTACGCGGTGGCGGGCGCGCTGAGCGGGGCGCGGCTGGAGGGCGGCGGCGCGCTGCGGCTGCGGGCGGCCGGCGGCTGGGCGCGGCTGGCGGGCGGCGCGCGGTGGTGCGCGGAGGCGGTGCGCGGCGAGGCGGGCGCGAGGGTGCTCGCGTGCGAGGGGGCGGCGCGCGCGGCGGCGGCCGGCGGGCCCGCGCACCACGCGCTCTACGGCGCGGGGCTGGCCGTGGGCGCGGCGTTCCTGGCCGCCACGCTGGCCGCGGGCTTCGCGCTGCCCGCCGCCCACCACGCGCTGCACTGGCGCTGCCAGACGCACTACGTGGCGGCGCTCATGCTGGGCGACGTGCTGTTGGCCGCCACGCAGCTCGCAGGCGACCGGGTGCCACCGACCGTGTGCCGTATTCTCGGTGAGCCTCAGTACTCGCCGAGCCTCTTCAGTAGTCCGAGAGCCTCTTACTCACGTTGAGTGTTTCGTTTCGTTCTGTTTATGTGCTGCTCTTTGGTGCGACTTGGTGCCGTGCAGCCATCTGTATGCATTTCCTGTTCCTGTCGGCTTTCTTCTGGCTCAACACCATGTGCTTCAATATTTGGTGGACTTTCCGGTGAGTTACATTTTTTTTGTCGTTAAAATGTACCGTACATATGTACTTTAACACTCTGTATTATTTACTTATTATTATTTGAGAAATACCTCAGAGAAGAACCTCATGTCAATTATTTAAACTGCAAACGAAACAAGAGGCTCGAGTCCTGAGCGATAGCGCTAAGACGAGGATGATCGTGGGTCGTGGCAGGGACTTCCGGCCGACGTCGCTGGAGCGCGGGCAGGAGGCGTGCCGGCTGCGCGTGTACCAGGTGTACGCGTGGGGCGCGCCGCTGCTGGTGGCGGGCGCGGGCGCGCTGCTCGACCGGCTGCCGGCGGCCGCGGCCGCAGGCTACCTGCGGCCGCGCTTCGCGGTGCGCCGCTGCTGGTTCTACGGCGACGCCGAGGTGCTCGTCTACTTCTTCGGGCCCGTGGGAGTGCTGCTCCTCGTCAACCTCGCCCTCTTTGTCTCCACCACGCGCCAGCTCACCTGCGGCCTCTGGCGCCGCGACGAGGTCAAGTCCACATCCGAGAGGTGCGCATAACCCACACCGATGCACACATGTACGCCAGTGGCCTGTCTATATTTTTCGTCCATTGAAACAACCAATCCGGTACGAATCATAAGCGTTTTGTAATAAAATATAATTATTTATAATCCATTTCGAATACAAGTAGTGCTTATGTCGCTGCCTTTAAACGTGCAGCGCTTTCGGTGATATCTCAGTGACGCGAGTTTGGATTGCAGGGCGGCCTTAGGGCGCGTGTGCGCCAAGCTGGTGGTGGTGATGGGCGTGACGTGGGGCGCGGATGTGATCTCGTGGGCGGCGGGCGGCCCGGCCTACCTGTGGTACGCCACGGACCTGCTGAACGCGCTGCAGGGGCTGTTCATCTTCCTGGTGGCCGGGTGCCAGCCGCACGCGTGGGCGGCCGCCAAGCGCGCCGCGGCCGCCCTGTGCGCGCGCCGCGGCCGCCACGCTCGCCACGCCGCGCACTCCTCCTCGCACCTGCCTTCCTGCGGCGAGTCCCTCACGCACACCACGGCCGCGCCCGCGCCCGCCTCCGCTCCCGCCGCCGCTTCTGCCACCGCCTCCGCCTCCGGCCCGGTCGCCCCCGCCGCCCCCGCCCCCGCCCGCCTTCCCATGGAGACTGTGTGCTGACCGCAACCCGCAGAGGCTATGACTCGGGGCGCCGTGCCCCTCGTGTATATTGCTATACGTATTTGTATATGTGTTAAATTATATAATAGCAAAGTGAAGTGACAAACTGAACGTCTTGCCCGTTCGATTGGCTGTTTATGTGAAAATAAAAAAGTGACAACCGACAACTCACTCGTATCATTTCCCCGCGCGCGTTTATATCTTTTGCAGGGAGGCCGCGACGCGCGCCCGCACCTGCTCCCTGTCGGGTGAGCAGACACATATTTAGTCATTTACAGCCTACCTTTTTAATATGACTACGGGTTTGTCACTTTTCCGGGTGTTGTACTCTACAGAAACTTACTTTTGTATTTAGAACCACAGCTACGTCGGTACGAATAAAAGAATACCTTTGAAAAACAAGGATATAGTTTAACGGCTTCTCTGGTTGAATATTTATAAAAAATATAATTTAAAAAATATTACCAATTGATTTGTGTGTGACACACACGTGACATCACGAGATGTTCACATTGTTTATTTATTGGTCAGCATTGGGTGAGGTTTAAACACTATTTGTCAGAACTGCGTCTTATGGTCCACCCTCCACCAATGTCAATGATACGATATAAAAAGACGTTGCATCCGCTTTGCAGTGCGGATGGACGAAAACACACGAAAGTACACCCGAAACAAACCGGTACAAAGATTAATGAACGCAAAATCGTAATTTTGAAATCAGTCTAGATGTACTTGTTCCATTGATAAAAGTTGTGTCATTGATAAAGGTACGGTAAACTACACTATCAATACAACCCATATATTTAAACAAGGAGCAAAGATAAAGCACAAGGGAGCGCGTTCGAAGAGTCGCGAGCCCTCCTGACCCGTGGCAGATAAGGATTCGCTGCATCGAGCGGACCTCCGCCTCTGGAGGCGTTTATAGTTGCCCCGACTTTATCTTCTTCAAAACATCTTCTTGCGTGAGGGGTGAACGCAAGGAGATGGCGTACGATGATTAGCTACAATGATAACATACGGCCAAGTCTTGCGAGTATTACACTGTTTACCAAATAGTATACGTACATAACTGTTCCAAGAATGAAGTCTTTTGTTTTTTAACGTCCGTGAGACCAGCGCGAGTATTAATTCCATATAATTATGTGGGTAAGATTTATCTGACTTCGACTAAGTCTTTTATCCTACAATTAGATTAGTTAATATTATTTGTAGCATTGTAATAGTAATGAGTGACACATGGGACTGGTTGTTTTGTTGGTTGCAAACGAGAGGTGCGGCGTCGCGGGTGCGCGGATCTGAGCTATAAATAGTGGGCGAGGTGTGTTTCTGGCCGCCGAACTGGTTCGTCGGAATGTTCGTGGCCGTTGAAGCCGAGCGGGAGGCGTTTCTTCTTAGCTGCGGTGACAAATCGACAATACGCGCGGCCATCCCGAGCCGTGGCCCTCCTCGAGGATGCTGTGGCGGCACGCTTTTAATTCATCAAATTCATACGTTCGTTTTTAATTTGTAATAAAGTCGTCGCAATTGGCCATGGTTTTACTTCGATCTGTCGGCCAATGTATGTAGGTATACGTGTTACTAATACCTATGGAGGTATGGAGGTATTAAATAATAATGAGCTTATTAAACGGAAATTGAAATTAACTTCGTTTTGTCACTACCCATACTTAGGTAAATTCATTATGAAATATTTGCTGTTACTCATTAGTAAATATGAAGCGATACGTTTTGTATGAACACGTCATAATTTCACAATTCAAAAATGTCTCCTGTTGAGCCCGGATGTGAGTTGACTTGAGGGATATTTTGATCTTAAGCGCTCTTGAACGGAGGACGGAGCGGTGTTGGGGGTGGGGTCCGGACGCGGCCAAAGGTGCAGCGGGGGCGGGTGCGGCGGGGGGGCCCCGATAGCGCGCCGCTTTCACCGCGGGCGCGTCGAGATCGAGAGCGCGCACACGCAACAGACGGACGCGAAACGGAACCTTTGTTTTGGAATCGGCCAGCAGTACGGTCGACTCGGCTCTTCCGTATATAATCAATCACTGGAGTGTTGCTCGGTTCATTCGACCTCTTTACTAATTATATGGTATATTCAACGCAAACGTTTCATGAGGGAGCGTATGAGGATTAAATATGGTCGTAGCGTGGCGTCATTGAATTGTACATAGCTACACGCCGTCGATGTAAACGTCACAAACTATTTAATGCAGTGCTCCGAGCGGCTGGTTTCAACGAGCGAAACTAGTTTATCGGCGCTCCACTTAAGGGGCTGCATTCGTGGATGAGACCGGGGGAGGAGATGGAGGGCGGAGGGGAAGGCAAGGTCACAGGTTGGCGCTGAACCTCGCCCCTTTGTTTGAAAGCGTTCCTTTGCACGCGACGGGGTTTGGGGTTCAACGGGTCCGTCGAATGTGATTTATTTACGTCTTCAAATGTTCGTAATGTTGATAAGAAAATTATGCTTTTTCCTCATTGGCGTATCGGAGACGGCCGACAGCGAGTCGTCGCGAGTGCAGTTTGGGAAGGCCGTCGACCACCTGTGCCCCTGCTCGCGCGGCACCAAATAAGGGCCTAAAGGCGTGACTGCTTTGGAGCGAAACTTCTGTGCAAGCTTACCCACCCCGGCGTTCCATTCAAACTTGAACAATAGCGTGTGAACGCCAATTCAGCAATTTTAGTTTTTCTCCGAAGGAAGCGCAGTGTTTTATGTGCGACAGCAGTTTAGAATTTGACTTCTCATTTTGATAATAATGCCGTTTTGTGCAATCATAACATGACATCATACATATTTTATGTTATAACCTAGTTGTACCGGTATTGTTAACTCGCACAACTTGGTTTATTCTTCTGCCAAGGTTAAACAACTTGCTCTTTCTTACTAGGGTTCTCGGGAGTACTGAATCTCGAACACTCACCAACCTCATAAAACCATGGATAGAATTGATTCAAGTCTAACATGTTTAGCGTTACGTTGTATGGGTAAACTCCGCTTACCAGTCGGTAGTTGGTACTTACAATGTTTCAAGCTCAAATCGTTGGTCAAACACAGGCATGATCGCGGTGTAATCCTGCGGCAATTAGCTGCTAGGTAAAGGTAAACACGCTCGGCCCATTCCGTTCATCCGGCGGGGATTTGCCGCTGTTCTGGCCAAGAGCCTTCTTTTACGTGGAAAAATATGTTTGTTGTTTAAATTCCACGCATTTGAACTATGTGTTTTGATATTATGGGTTGTTCACATCGGCTGGGGACACGGGAACACAAAAATACACTCTTCCACAGCAGCTCTAGCGCCACATTGGTCTTCTCAGACCTCTTCTCTGCGGGTATTAGGCCATCTGGTTTGACTATAATGTGCTGTGCCGGTGCAATTAACTCACCCCTCAAGAGCCCCTTAGTGGTGCTGTGATTTCAATCTCCTCTTTTATGTGAAAAGGTAGCAAACAAGCTGGCGGTGCACTTGATGTCAAGTGATGAACTCAATGACTCGCGCCAGAAATGTTATGACGCGAGTATTTTGGATAAGCTGGAAGCCGAAAGCAAGACGCCGGCCAACAGGCACGTCTCGCTGGATATCGTGTGGCAGCACCGTACGAGTCGTATAGCCAAAACACCCTTTGTGGTTTGCGCGAAAGTGCTTAGCTCCGGTGAAATCATATAGACCTTACGACTTTATATTATAGGCGACGGCACACGTTGGGACCGCCAACGTTCGGAAGCAGTCACCTGTGTGAGCACAGAAGTGCCACACAATTGTGTGAGCGTGAAGCTCATAAAACCATAGGTATTCATCCCACCACGAGCCTGCCTGAGTACTTGAAGTACGTCTGCAAATTTATAACTTGTGATATACTCTAATTTTTTTGTCTTATGAAATAATTGGCAGCCTGAAGAAACCAAATGTTGGGTCGCGGGCTGCGTTTGGTAACTCGAAGAATTTATTTCTCTTTTATATAGTGCGTCCGGGGATTTCTGTTTACCTCAGTGCTATTATTATAAGCTTGCGTTTGCCGCTCAGGGTATTGTGGGTTTTCAAGCAAATGCAGACCGTTTCCGTTAGTGTATAAAAACAACGATGTAATGGTGTATTAGTACCTCGTTAGGGAGTTGAATTACATTGCAACACGGAGCTCGATAGCTGGAAATGAGAATATATGTATATATGGGTCATGTATTTACCATACTTGTACCGGCATCGAAATGAAAATGATTCCCAGGGCTAAGAGGCGTACAGTGCCATAACCGCATCGAGCACAAAGATGGACCAAGTGATCGACATAGCTTAAATTGTCCGCACTTTTATACATTCCTGGATTGTTCCTTCGAAGGAGAGAGATGGCGTTATATCAGGTAAAACCTTATAGAATTGTTCCAAATGGTGAATCATTGTTTTCGGAAGAATAACTTAATCAAAGACGCAAAGATAAGTAAAAAATTATATAAATAAATCATTACGCATAGGATATAATTAATTTGAATTACTAACATGTCGAATTAAGCATTGTCGCTTCGGCGAAACTACGTAAATTCTAGCTCTAAGTCCTTGCTAGTCATGAACTGATAGGTTCCTCAATAACGAGGCTTGAATTCGAATATACAGTGAGCATAGGTTCCGTTTGTATTCTACATAAGCAGATAGGATAAATAGCGGAGCGGCTGATAGGAGAGGTGTCCTCGTTGCTTATCCGCCCCCGCCCCCGCCTCCGCCGTAGTCTAATGACGCTTACCATAATTACCGATAATACGCACATTGTAAACACGAGTCGGACCAACGACACACAATTCGTAGGTTAGTTTATCGAACTAGATTTAAAAACGAGTATTTGATGATATCGCACTTATACTTATTATGATAAAATTGCTCAAGTTGCGAAGGTGATCTGTTACTGTGAGCTAAAACTTGTGGCATAACTATAATAGTTAGACATATGCTGTCGTAGTACATTATTTTATTCTATCATCAATAGTTTTCGCAGCGCACGCGATGTGAAGAATATTTTAGGCAATTTTTGTTTTGTATACTTTGGGTTACATTATAGAAGTTTTAGTAAGTAAACACTTATAGTTTATATAGCTAAGTTGTGCAAACGGCTAATATTTTTTTTAAATTATGAATAAAAGTACTTTAAATCAATAAAAAAACATTACACACACTCCCATGTATAATTAATTACGGAATTTCGGCCATTGGGTGACAACAAGCATAAATTACATACATTAATACATATACATATATGTTATATACACTGATTATTAATGATGCAGTTGATCTGCAGACACGTTTTATAGGTGTGATCAAGAGCTTTTTTGATTTTTAAAATAAATAGCGACGTTATACCAACCTGATATCGAGAAGTAGCCGATTCCACAGAAGGTTAAACCAACCTTTTTTTGTTAATATGGGGGAAGTGCCTACGCATAACCACCCTCGCGGGGGCAAAAGCGGCTTATGTCCGACTCGCACCGACTAAAACCCCCACGATGTTCCACCTAGGCGCAAATCGGCAGTAGGCCACGGGAACGCTTTCGAACACTTAGGCAACCCTGCCAGCACTGGCCGCCTCAGCAGCCCCTCCAGGAGCAACTCCTCTCACCTCCAGGTTAGGCGCGCTGGAACATTCAAACTAAACTAACCTGATTTAGAGAAATAGCGGACTCCACAGAAGGATATGAGTGCATATGAATTCAGAACGATAAGCAGGACATTCGAAAAGACGATTATGCAACCGCGCTAATTATTTAACTTGTGAAATTATTTTTCAGTTTTGATTTGTGAATTCGTTTTTATTTGGTGAAATAATTTTTCAGTTAGTTCGTGGCCCGAGACGTTGTTTCGTAAAGATTTACACGATAATATCCTATGGAAGTGAGGAGTACCGGATCACCGAATCCAGGGCGCATGTGCGGTGATTTCAAATTGAAAACATTTGAAACTGCGGGCTTATCTCAATGATTACTTAAATACGTCTCTAAGTTCGTCCCAGTCATTGCGTAATGCACAGTTTATTGCACCGGGGTATTGCCCTTTCGCACGCTCTGCAGGTCACATCGCTCTCTGTCTTTCCCACTACGTTGTTGTTTGTCGAACAACGATTTTGTTATGAACCGATGTTTTTGTTATTTATTTCATAGTTCTGTGAAACGTTGATAGAAGAAAAATGTGAGTCGGCGCAAGTTTGGACTCGTCTCTAACTAATCGCGGCCCATAATAGCCTCTGGTAATGGCCCCAATCGTTAGGCCGAGAGCAATCGCCTAGCGCCACGTTCCGCATTTATCCCTACCGTAATGGAGGTGTTAATCATTTGACTGGGCTATATTGAAAATATGTTAATTAATATATTAATAAGTTATTCATCGCCATGTATTCATTCAACTAATACCTATTATAAATTACACTGATTCCACATAATACATATTTGAAGCAAAATTAGTTCTTTGTACATCAACAAAGTATGTAATGAAATGACGGAAACGCTCTTCAGGTTGAGATTAAATAAAGCACTAGCAAATGCTTGGGCCCCAACTCCGTTCCGCGCCCTCACCAGCTTCTGCTTTTTGGTCGCACATTTTCGTAAGGTAGTCGAATCGGACACAAGAGCTGTTGACTGGCATGACCTGAGGATCCGAGTAATCGACGAAACGACCACCGACACGGCCTCCGTCAGAATGGGCAGCGGCGGTTGTGTGAAAAGGCGGAAGTGGGCGTTGCACAAGCGGGCCCCGCTGACCCGCTTCTACGCCACAGCTCGAAGAGGCCTTTTATTCCTCTATTGCGGCCGCTTTGTCGCTTCCACGTTCGCCTGATTGCAACAATGGCCATCGAGCATTCACGGCCCAACGGTATAATAGACACGAACCTAATTCGTGTCATTGACGCGTTCTTCCGCGAGCCGAACCACGTCAGTGTGGGGACTGTATCTGTTTATGCATAGTTCTAGTGTGGAAATTGAATATATAATGCCAATAGTTGACATATCGTTGATGATGACATAATAATGTTTTGAAGAAATATTTATCTATAACGTTTATTATATCCGTAGGAATATAAATAATAAATCAGCAATGCGTATGGATGCGCTCAAGTCCACGGACTCGTCCTATCGGTGCGAGCTCATCGGCGTCAACTAGCGGCCCTGGGAATTCATACCAGTCAGTTCAGTCCCTTTTAAAATGCTAACAAGGAAGCGGCTTTAAGGGCTCCAGCGGAGGTGAGCGCTGTCCACTGTAGATGGTCCTGATCCTATGGCGATATTGGGATTGCGGTGCGATGGCAACACCGGCAACACACGCTGACTATGCAGTATTAAAGGTTGCGCTAACTTGACACCAATAATTATAATGTCGATGATTTGTCTTTTCCTTAAAAAGTACTACTACTTCTACAGTACTATAACATTCAGTTGATGAGTACGTTTAATTTTGATTGGACCACAGTGCCTAACGACACCTCTGCCTGTGCTTGATTCCTCGTAACAACTAGTAATATACCAAGTCTATATTCGGCCGATAAACGTAATCCTATTGTACCACGGACTACATGACTCATATTGACGATATGTGCGTACCGCGTACGATAGTTCTCCAAGACGTTATTATCTATTCGGTTTAGGATGGACATATCCAATGTTTTTATTCTATGGAAGCCTTACCGAAAATAAAAATCTTACTTACATGATAAATTTAACCACACACACACACAAGTAGAATATATATTTTTTTATTTTGATATACCCATTGTCACTCTCACAGTAAATACGAATCTAATGACACCTCTCAAGCTAAAATCTATCAAGCCGTTCAGGCTGCAGAGCGTGCCAAGCAATTATACATACATACTACAAACATACGCTCGAAAAACATAACCCTCCTTCTGGCGCAGTGGGCAAAAAGACAAGCTTCAAGTAAGCCAGTTCAGTAGTTCAATGAAGACACGACTTCATTGAACTACATTGCCGATCAGCTTGTTTATTGCCATATGGATTTATGATATTATATTGTGAGTAAAATGTATTAACATTTTGATGTTTGTTTATATCATACTATACATTATTATTATGTCTGGAAATCGTAACTCTACTCAAAGGCCGAGCTACTCTATCATTTTGCCTTCACTATAACCATATTATCCCCAGTGGTCCTCTTTTGAAAACGACCAGAATCGAGTGAACATAATATAAAATTAAATTGTGTCAATATTGATTCTTACTTCAAAACTTGCTAACTAACAACTTTGCAAGTTCCGGTATAAGCGGGAAGGAGTACAGTGGGTACAGAAGGGTAAGAATCCGGCTTGAGTAGTGTTTGACAATGAAACTCCCTAATGTCGGCTGAGTTGACTCGCTTGCGGTAAAAGGCTCTCGAGCATCGATGGGCGATGGGCGCACAAAGCGTTGCGAACAGCTGCCGCGGAGTGGAGCGCACGCATAGAAAGAGTGCGCTCCCATTGTTCATTTCTATAATGACTAACATCGGAGTTGGCGAGAAACTTCTTTGGCGTCCGAAATTCTCTTGGGGAATAAAATAAACCGTGCATTATGTATGGCGACAGTAGTACAAATAGATTTCAAGAAAAAAATGGATTGCTAAGATAGAGGACTTAGGAAATGCGTAAGGTTATTATTATCTATAGTTGGATTTAGTTGCGAGAAACAGCAAGCATACGCTCTCGTGTGTTTTTGACTTTGTTGCATATAAATGTCTCGGACATTGGCGTTGCTTCCACGATTCATATTAATATTGTTGAAAACTGGGTCAATGGCCCTGTGCGACACACAACTCCAATAAACGCGTACTATTTTCTATACATTGATTACATTGAAGCAATTAATTTCTTGTCAAAAGCAGTATAACTTTTAATATTAATCATTATTTACCGAAGCAGGTACCACTTAACATGTCTAAGAGCTTTTTAATCTACCGATGAGCCCCTCACTTCTGCGCCTCATTGCTGCGCCCAAAACGCGTGTACGTCACATCCGCTCTCCATTCCAGCCCGAGCTGGGATGGAGCCGACACCATGTCTTATCAGACTATCAACACTTGTTATTATTTTTTGATGAAGTGCATACAACGTTGAGTCACTAGGTAAAAGTAATTTAACGTCTTAAGTGTTACCTTTTTATAAAGTATTAAAATAAATAACGAATTCAGTTTTGGCTCTTTACTGATAATTTTGGAAATGTAATATCTTTTTTTATAATGCTATAGCCGTTCTCTTCAATTGGCTCGCAGGATTGTGATCTCAATAGTATTTGTTTCATTAGGGCTTTCGTTGTGTAGTTTCAAAGAAAAAAAGGGTACTCTGTGGCCTAATGAACCGTCCAATGATAAAGGTAAAGTTCATAGTTGTAAGAGACGACTTGTGCAAAACATATTGAAACTAGGAAGCTGTTTAGGCTTTGCCTGTTTTGTAGTGGAAGTAAATCCTGCCTGTAGGTAAAGCTGGTGGAGTTGGAGTCTTTAAATGAACTGCTATTTAGACACTATTAAATTTATTTTTCTCGTGTACATTTTTAGTTAGATGTCTAAGCGAGAGAGCTTTAGTGTTGGTGATCACAGCTGATAATTGCGCATTTGGGGGACATTTGGTAGCATCCAGGCCGAGCCGAGGCGTTGCTCCCGAATCGGCGCCGGAATTCTAAGGAGGCCTGACGCGATGCCAACTCCGTGCCAGTTCTGTTCCAGGCGCACCGGGAAGAATCGCGTTCACAAGGTTCGGTTACCGTGCATGTCCGGTTACAGCTACATTTATTATTATTGTATATATGTATGTATGAGCAAGGAAGCACTATATGCATTTAATTTTATAGTAGCAAGGTAAATTGAAAAAAAGCATTAAAATTTATTTATCATTTGTTATATTTTTTTACCTAAGTCTATGAATTTTTCATTATAATGACTTCCTATCAAGAATTCGAACGTTTAGTTGGCGTTTAAGAAAGCATTTCCCGGAAACTTGGCCGAGTGCGCCCGCGGCTAGGCCGTCCAAAGCGCAAGGCCGCTCATAATATGCTTCCTGGAAAAAGTAAACTGATCAGCTAATTTCCTACAATTTTATTCCTAAAACTAAAATATCGTTAAAATTAATAAAACTGGTTTCATCACTAGCGGTTAAGGCGATTATTATCGTTTCATCTTAGAACATTTTGACATGTATTTAGTATGTAGAACATGTATTTAGTATGTAGATTATTCACTGGGTAAATAACATTCATAGTATTAGCTCCATTCAGTCATGTCTTGCAACTTGCAACGAATCTAAACAACTGCGATCGTTAGTCTCGATCGTCGTCTTGTTCACAATATTTTATAACATCGTCGAATCAAGTCGAATGCAATTTATAGCCAGATATAGAAATCATGACCCCGACGCACCTTCGTAGCCGGGAGGTCTGTCGGTACCTCTCGATGTGATTTGTGATCCGCACTCCGCGGCGATCCCGTCGGCGGCATCCGACGTGTCGGCGCGGCTTCGCGCTATTTCCAGACTACTCTCATAATTATCGGCTCCGGAGCCGAGTCGAGTGTCGACACTATGTGTGCGATAACAGAAACTTTAATAAAAAGAGAATTGTGTAACAAGCGATGAAATAATACCAATAACCTTTGACTATTTGCATCGGGTTATTTAAAAAATAATGTTAATTATTCGCAGAGATTTCCTCGCCAGATTAACTTTACACTTTATTGAGTTTCAGTTTTGATAGATGATGGGTTTCGGAAGAGCTTTTAACAGGGTTAAATAAAAAATATATGTACGTGCAATATATTTTTCTTATGTGCTAAACTAACAGGTGGTTAAACAGTTGCAGTGGTCCCTGCCGCCCATGAACATTTAGGACACTCGGGTGTTGCGGATGTGTTGCTAACGTTCGGCCCCAGTTACCCGTCATCGATCCAGTTCGCGCTCGCCTTATGTGAGGCCGCGGTGCTTCCCCGGACGGGCGTGCCCATCCGTGGCACGGCAGAAGCCGCTGCGTGTCCGCACCATGTTCTCCGTACCATTCGTTATATTTAAGAGTGCGCATGGTCGCGAGCGAGATACTTACTAGTTGACCTATTGGCTCGCAACACTCATTTCACGGTGGCTTCTGTCTCTCTTATTTCGCTTTGCCTTGTAGTTAATTCTTCTTATAAAACTCCTTCATTTTATTACAATTCACGGGACCTCATCAGATTAGGATGTGAACATGTCAACATTTCGTGTGGTGAACACGCACCACATTGGCGCCTCTCTACAAATCACAGTAAACATACTATTCCATTTGTAACAAGTGAACTCTTGTTTTTGTTTTTATCAGCAATATTTCAGTTCTGAGTTTTTGATTCGTGAAAAGGTGTGTGAGTTGATATTGGGCGACCTTTCTTCCACGAAACGACAGTAAACATAAAGACCAGGTAGATGTCTTTTTAGTCACTACGCCTTTGTTGCCTGTAAAATTGTAAATCGAGAAAATTCTCTTGGCATCAAAGAAAGTTATGATTAACTATAAATTGTTATATGTTTTAAAGCCAATGCCTTCCTTAAAATACTTATAATGAGAACATAATTATCGCTGTCGAGCTGTGTTGGTGCGATGGGGCTGGCTCATGGTTGTCCTAAGTAGTACATAGCGCGTCGCATTCGAACTCGAAGCGTCAGAGCGGTGACGTGCGTGTGCTGCGCACGCGTCTAGTGTGCGTGCGGTGCGCGCGTGTGCGTGCAGGGCAGCCTTCGGCACTTTCGCTCTCTACCGACACTCGGCCGGCTCCGAGCGGCCCGCGGCGGCGCGGCGGCGCGGCGGACACATTCCGCCGCATCACGGCACCAATCTCACTCACACTAACGCCATTGCTCAAATTGATGCTAATACGTATTGTGCTCGTTAAATAATCAATGTTCGCCCTGTGCCTGATAATTTTTTAAACAGTCCAAAAGAGCAAAATCCGCAGTAGGTACAGCGGAGTGGTTTGTAGTCTTGTAAAAAGAATAATAGAGCACCAAATAGCAAAACTATTTGTCCAATTTTGCCTGTGAGGCGGGCACAGTCTCATATTTAAAGTACTACTATAAACAATACGTCTATTAGATAGTGCAACGCGCGTAGGAATAAATAGAACAACTTAAATTAAGATAAGTCGAGTCTACGTTAGGTAAATGAGCCGCGATAAAGATAGCGGACACTGGTTCAGCGTCTATTGCACCAGTACTCTGGAAATGTTTCAATTTACTTCTTAACATGTGCTTATTACGCAAAAGTATTTATTTAAACTGAATAGAGATTTTATCAACTACTGACTGTCATCTAATCCTATTTAATTTCATTCTCTCACCTCCTTAATATTTTACTTGATAAAATAGAACTTGTAATACAAAGTAACGAAATAACTTTGTTAATAAAATAATTTATCTATGTGTTGTAATTAACAATGGTTGCAGGTATTCGCATTAATCTATGTAAAACTTTATTTATCTAAAATGCAACGTACAAAAAACATGTACAAGAAAATGTTCTTGCTAATGTCATGCGTAATGCTTATCATTTACCTGTATTTCCATATTATAGGTAAATGATAAGCATATTTTGCCATCATCATCATTACGTATAGGTATAGGAAATAAATTCATTGTGATAAATTGTTAGAAACATTTTCTCGATGTAGAAAGTAAAGTCGAAAAGTATATGTTTAATTTTAATTTGATTGTAATAAATTAAACACTACTAGAATCCATTTAGGCATGCCGAAATCGATATCAATTAAATCGACTCGAGATGAATCCCAAAGATCGGGAAATGCGTGATAATTATCAAAGGACCAAAGATTGGCATAAGAAAGCCTACTATGTGACACACCTTTCTCATCATAATAATGTCTAAGTTTTTAAAGAAATTCGATACTAACTCGCATCTCAAGTGCTGAATAACCTTGGGGGTTTAGGCGTTATCGTGGGTTTTTTTTTTTTTTTTTATGTGAAAAGTTGCCAAACGAGCAGACGGTTCACCTGATGGTAAGTGAATACCGCCGCCCATGGACATCTGTAGCAGATGTTACAAGGGTTACAGATGTGTTGACAACCTTTTGAAAATTGGGCTCCGGCTACCTCACTCACCAGACGAAACGCGAAAGTATTTGTCATACTTCCACTTTACGCTGGTCTTCTGTAAGGTCGTGGTACTTACCCGGACGGGCCTGCCCATTCGTGCAACAGCCGAGGCTGCTGCGTGGCCCTACCACCGTAAATGTGAGTGATTTACATTGACCGAGGGGATTATACCGATGGATCCACCGTGAGACGCACGCGCACCGAAAGTGGGCCGAGTAGGTAGAGGCAGGCTATCGCTGGTGCACCGGCGTGCGGCGGCTGGCCAAACAGGCGGAGGCGACGCGACGGCCGCCGATAGCTGCGGGGGCTAGACGCAGACAAATAAGATACGAGCACAGCGGGAGCTCTGTGCACATGTATTGCGCAGTGCGCTAAGGAACTATCGCGGCCCTACTAACTAACCTTATCATGTTATTCCCTTTTCATAAGTCATAACAATTTATGCAGAGAGAAAAGAGGTGCCGGTAGTGCAATCTTTGTTTTAAAACATTGCCCTCATTTTGGGATAACATTATCCTGTGTTGCAAGGATGTTTTGCATACATCAATTTCACGTGGACAAATCATAAAGTCGCGTCTGTGTGCGAAACAACTCTTGTGGGTCCCACAAATAGTTGTCCCGTGTGGGACTCGTACACACGGCCCCCGACGCCAATACCTTGATGACTGCGCCACGGAGTCACAAAAGCATCTTCTAAATTCTTTGCCGTATATGCATAGGAAGCCGCATAAACTCCTCTGAGGTAGGTAAATTGACACGGATGCGCCAAGCGAAGTGTGCCGCACGGGGTGGAGGGGCAGCGTGCGGGGGGAGAGGGGAGGACGGTTCGTCGCTTGCTATTCGCAATAGCGTCACGTAGCTTCTGCGCGGCGATCTTTCCATTGAGTAAACGTCCGCACGAACAGATCTGTTTTAGAGTCAGCTTGTAGTATTGTAGTATTACCCTCATGTCAACAGTCAAACTCAAACCAGCTCACAATCTTCACTACATAGAATTCTCAAAAATATAATAAATACTAGTTGACCCGGCAAACGTTGTTTTGCCATATAAATCATTTGTAGGGAAGAAAAAAATTTTTTGGGGTGGATCACCCTTAACATTTAGGGGGATGAAAAATAAATGTTTCGTTCCGATTCTCCATTCTGGCCAATATGCACACAAAATGTCACGAAAATCGGTCGAGCCGTTTCGGAGGAGTTCAATTACAAACACCGTCACACGAGAATTTTATATATTAGATTAAATATGCCTCAGACCTCCTTCTAAGATATGCCTTTTTCTCAATCAAAATCTTTCTTCTATGCCGGACTTAATACGGTGATCATCTTATTTAAATTTAAGATTCGATTATATCTGTTACCAAGCTACTGTGTATGCTCTAAAGCAAAGGTGCATAATGCACATTGCCCTCTCATTTTATTTAGTCGCACCTATTGCATCAATATATCAGTTGTACGCTACTTCAGAGACTACAAAATAGAAATTTGTTCATGAATTGCAATATTAAGGCTTTATTAGGCAATCGCTAATTCGAGTGCTGCTTTCTACTAAAATCGATTTAATAGAGGTAAATATTAGTGAGTTGGCTCGTTTGAACAATTTCGTAATGTCATTGTTGCGCAAGTACATTGTGATTCATGAAATTGGGAGGCACGACGCGGATTGGAGGCGTCATTCCGTGGGTGTCGCAGTTTTAATGAGAACGATGCGCAGGTGTTCCCTTACCCGCGCATTTTCAATGGAAGTGTGAAAATTACACGTGATGACTTCGGGTTAGAGTGTTCTCTATGAACAATACGCTTTAATCTTGATCAGCTAAAATTGAAGTTATTCCCCTTACTTATTAAAAGTATCAAACTTTTCCCAAGTAAAGGCTAGGGGCAATAAATCGTGCTTCGTGTGGAGATTAGGGGAGAGCGTTGGTGTAAAGAGTTGGTGAAAGCAAGTTGGCAAATCGCCACACTCTATTCGGTAAGAGGTGAAACTCACGACTAAGATGCGTAGAAGCAAAATCAACAGTCCTGTGCAGAAACACAATTGTCTGTTATAACAACTGCATAGTATTACGCAGAATGTACACTACACGGAAGTGTGGTACGAGCGCAATCTTAAATGTTTAGAGAATTCATGAATTGTTCATATATTATGGATGGAATCTTCTGGTTTTGGGATATGTTAATATGCCTGACATATTAACATATCCCAAAACCACGTCCGAGTCGTTTTAGTAATGTTAAGGTCGAGGTAAATCGTACGTGACTTTCGAAAAAGGAAAAAGGCATAAATCGTTTCAAGTATTTATAAGACGAAGAGTTAAAGCTGATCGTGGTAAGAGTTAATGACGTCACTCAGTGCCCGTGACGCTCTGCGTTGGAGCGTAATCGATGGTGTTCGCAGAGTGGAGCGCCGTTGGCATTATTGTCCAAGCGCAACATGGCGCGAGCGACGCACATTTCATTGATACTATTTATATTGCTCTTTTTATGGTAAATTTTGAGTACTTACATACATTTTAGCCTTTATTATCTTTTTAAATTCCACAACTTTGTACTAATCTTGTCAACAAAATATAAAATGGAATTAATTTGGTTGCATACATACATAAACGAGGCGCCCATGGAGAGGAAAGACAAACACGCGGTTAGCTTTATTTTCATTTCCTTTTTGGTTCTTATCAATCCCAACATCGCATCCCTGAGCTCTATAAAGACTAAAAGCTTCCCATGCTTTTTTTTAGTATACATTCAATTGAATTGAACAATATATTCGACCGTTACGAACGTACGTGGCGAATCGTAATCTGACGAAAGTAATGGCGCTCTTGAGCTAGTTTCATAAATGGAGGTGTTTCCAATGTTTGCTCGGTTCAATGTGCCATTAAATTGCAAAGAGGTCCGTTAATGCGCCTCACGGGCGAGAGGGGCGAGAGGGGCGAGAGGGGCGAGAGGGGCGAGAGGGGCGAGAGACGCGAGAGTGCAGTGAAAGTGTGCGAGGTGCTCGGCTGTTCGCGCCCTGAGCTTTCCAACTTGATCTGTTCAACAGCCCACCACATTCACTTTCTATACTTACCGCTAATAGCCGCTCCATTCGATCGGCCTGCGATTTGAAGCAGAAATTACCCCTTGCAGAAAGAAAGATGTAAAAAAATATACAATAGCCCCCTGACGCTAACCTCTTAGTATCGAAGTGTTGTGACACAAAGACTAGGAAGCACAAGCATGGTACTTCCACCTTTTCCTCGGTGTTCGAACCCTTACAAAGTCTGAAGCGGATGGAAAAAGCGCTAAGTATGCCTTTGTGTTACAAAAAGGGTTTTAAAGGTCCCTTGCCAGGTTAAAGGATACGCAAGTAACATTTTGATTATTTACATTTATAATTGTATTTTTTTGAAACAATAACATATTTAAATGCCATGCAGGGTTTATAAAATATGTTTAACGGTGGTAGAGCCACGCGGCAGCCTCGTCTGGTGAGTGAGGTGGCCGGAGCCCAATATTCAAAAGTTTGTCAACGGATCTGGAACCCTCCTGGGTGTAGCAGATGTCCATGGGCGGTGGTATTCACTTAACATCAGGTGAACCGTTTGCTCGCTTGGAAAGTTTTCACATAAAAAAAGGGGGAACAAATAACAATCACGATGTTTAATTGGATAATACGACGAAACTAATGTAAATAACAATGAGTTCTATGGTAACGCCATACGTTTCTTACTAATGTTGCGTACTGTACGTTTGCGGAACATTGGACCAGAGAGGCGCCTGCATATGCCGCCATCTTTCAGCGTCGTAGCTCTTGGGATCTCCGGTCGCTCTTTGGTGATTCCGCGGCGTCGCTGGTTTTTGGGTTCCATTCACTCTGTTGTCGGCCTTCGTAAAAAAGATTTGAATATTTTTCCTTTGTCGCATTATGTTGTGCAACAAATAGAATTTGTTACGGTTAAGTTCCGAGGTTAGGTAAGCTAACGGAGGAGCGCGAGATAGTAAAGGATTTATAACTTTTCAGACATTCTCAAAAGGAAGCGATAATAAGCCTAGTGATGAGATTTTTCTCTGTAAGAATTTCGCAGCAGACACTCCTGTTTCAAGAATGGGTCGGCCCTTTCTCGGAAGTAACACACCCTACAGAAGACCGACGTGAAGTGTTTACAGTTTTGCATTCCGACTAGTAAAGTGATCGGCGACAACATTCGTAAATGTACATACGTGGACAGCGATCATTTCGCAATTAACATGAAATGAACCGCAGTGTGTGATAAAGTTGGTGCGTCTGTTGGCATCATATAATTAAGGCCACGTTTAAAAGTGTCATCGATGCTTTCAAGTGCACTAGAAATGTATTATCTGTCAGAAGTAGAACTGATTGTCCATGTTCTTTGTTGAAGTAATCTTTAACCCATATTTAGTTACTTTGTCTTAATTATGCTCGCACGTTCAGATGTATCTTTTTTATGCTATATATTATGTATTTTATGCCTATCATATTCATGTATGTATAATGTAATTATTTATTTAGGGGTTGTTAAGAGTTGCCAAATAAATAAATTTCTTCTCAGTGTGTTTGTAAATGACAGATTGAAATGCTTACTTTGTTTCGTCATATTTCCAAGTTTTTCTATTTTCTTTTGCCGGAACTAAACTCCGTACAAAAGCTAGTTTGGCGTGAGGCGCCAAGGTCAGCCGGCTACCTAAGTAGCGCCAATACGGTATTGGTAACGGTACCCCAGTCTCGGCTCCAATACAACACGGTGCACCGAGTGGCGACAAGTATCGTAGCTATTAAATGTAATCAATAAAATATATAGAGAAGCAAAATATAAGACTTTGTAGAAAAAATAATGAAAACGTTCCGATCAAAATCTGAATGTATTTTATTTATTTGCTACATATATATTTCAGCAATGTGACAAAAAGATCTTAGTCCTTAAGATTTTCGTGGGTGTGAAGGAAAACCGTTAGCTCAGTGGCTTGAGCGTCGAGCGCGTATCTCAAAGGACGCAGGTTCAAATTCTCGCAGCAGTGAAAACTTTGTGCATATTTCTAGAATTTTTTGAAATTTCATTTTAAATGCAGAGAATAGCTTAATAAAAATTAATATATTTTAACAAAACATGAAATACGTTTTATTTATAGGTATCTCTGAAAGCCTCCTTACAATTATTACACTATGGTGGTGACTAAGTAAAAATAATAAGTTGGTAATTCTTATAATTTTTGCTTAGTTTAATTTTTTTCAGACTGACCACAGCGACGGAGCTTTCTTTGTAATGACAGCAATATTAAAAAAGGTTACAACCGTAACACCTGAGGGGGCTAAAGTTTGCGATAAACTTGTAATATCGCGATTTAAGGAATAGACAAAGGCAGTGATTGAGTGATGATGTAGAAGGGAGAGCGAGTCCGCCCATCATTGTCCAGGCGAGGTCGGTCTTAGGCTGCTGACTTCACAAATCACAATTAGAATTCGCCATTAAGTAGATTTTCATAGAAAACATTTGTATCTGCATTTTGGCCGTGATGCTCAATATCTACTAGTAGATTATGCCAATAAGAATCAATGAAGACAAGATGGTTGTAGGGGAATCATATGAAATATGGTACATGTACGAGCAGAGGCGGGTGGTGCGTGGTGGTGGAGGGGGCCTGCGCCGCTGCACTAGAATGCGCCGTGTCCCCATCCGCCGCACCGACCACAACATTCCTTCGCCTTACTTCGGATGGAAAGCGTCGAAACACAATCATTATTTGCGACCTCAAGCTAATGTAAGGTCTCGGGTTCGGGAAGAACAACTGAAAAACTTATCAAATGAGCAATCAAGCTACTCGCTGTTTACTAATGTACATCATCTGTACTTACTGCACTCGGTAAATTACGAAGTTAACCAAGTCGATAATAAAGTTATTTTAACTTTAAGAGATGGTAATAAGTTTAACTCGGCACAATTAATGAACAAATTAATTAATTTTATGTTCCTCCAAATTGTAATCCGCATAAATCACTAACATTAATTATAATATTAAAATTCAACGTAAATCTCTTATTCTACCTCAAATTAACAAATTTTTCAAGATTGTTTAGGCATAAGCGTATGCCTTACCCTACCTCCTGTTCGTTAGTGCTACTGTATATAGACTGGAGCGAGTAATGTCAGGCATAATAAAATAAATAAAAAGCTCATATTTATTATCTCCAAACCTTAGAGAATAGCGCATCACAAAAAAGCGCTTTGTGTACTTTTTGCTGTATCAAATTTGAACTTGCGTGGATTATTTTGTACGGGGCACCGTCCGTAGTTAGATTTATCTTTCCTATTTAAATATATGTTAAATTAAGCAGCAAACGACCGAAACAGTATTAAAAATATTGATAAACATCGATAAAAACCACAGATTATCGACTCCCCAGATTAGATGAAACTTTATGAGCGAAAATCATAAATATCAGGTTGTTTTATATATTATAAAATCGAAAATTGCGAAGCCTATCCGATGCAAATTAGGATCCAAAGCCATTAAATTACATATAGATAAGATAAGAGCGTAAGTAAAATACGAAAGCGTTAGTAATGACGAGCTGTTTGTGTCGTTAAGAGAGGCAACAAAGGATAAAGACACATCTGGGTGTTACACTTAAGATGCTGTGCGTAAGTATCGTGAACGAATGGGCAAGTTTGAGGGCGAGATTCGCGGGTTGCGATGGTGACATAAGAGAGACCTGAGGCGTGGTGGCGGCAAGGATGCGCAATCGGCCGACGCTCTGAATCACGCGCTTGGCAATTGGCAACGACCCGCCGTGACCCACTGACGCTGCTCAGCGTACGATTGCCTAGCGTTTTAACGATTACACCTAAGCGACTAAAGTAGCAATTATTATTACATTCCTAATGCCCGGTCAGCGCAGTTGTCAAGACATCGGCTCGGACATAGCGGCCAGTGGGTTCGATCCCCACACGGTATAAGTGTTGCTCAGAAAATAAATCTTCCAGCTCGGAATATTTGTGGCAACACAGGAATGAGAACTACAATAACCGAATAAAAAGAATGAGCACGGAAGTAAAAACACATAAGAGATACATATTTTAACACATTTTTCTACATATTTTAATGTTCAATCTTATGTGCAAAGATTAGCACTATAAACAATTTAAATTTCAAAAAAAAAAAGCAATGGCGACATCTCTCGTTCGAATTATCGTTGTAAAACGATATTCGAAGTTGTTTGTATGCTGGAAAGGATATAACAATAGATGGCGCCAAGCATTGCTTCAAATGCTAAGAAAACAATGTGGAAGAATGCGTTAAGATTTTCGTCGGTGTGGTAATCAGCCGAGCCGTTTAGCTCAGTGGCTAGAGCGTCAGGCCGCGAATGCCGAAGACGTGGGTTCGATTCCCACAGCGGCGACATTCTTTTCGCACTTTTTTTTACATATTTTAACACATAAGAGATGATGGCTAAATAAACAAAATCGAATTAAATAGGAAGGTGGCCACGATTACCACTTAAAGAATATACAGAAATGCAGAATTGGATCGTGTCGGTCCATTGTACGACGATAGCAGAAGATTTATGCCAAATATATATTCTTATTACCAATTGTGAATACTTTATTTCATACAATTAAGTACGTGTTGGGATAAAACTAAAGCCGGTTCTATTCGTATTTGGTACATAGCGAGGGTCACCGTGTGTTCACTTATAGTGCGTGACGAAATTCCGCCGATCGCATTTTGCGCGTCGGATGTTTTTAACGCAAATAGAATTCGAATATTCAATTTGAACTAAACATTAATTTCCACGGTATACGTGAAATATTGAGTCATGTAAAAATAAGTAATGCGAAGGCGAAGTGTCATAAGATTGTGAGTGTCGGATGTTGTTGGTGGAAAATATCGATTTAAACGAGCGATTTAGTTTCGCGCGACGTTTATTTTTATGTGACAGGAAACTTATGAAGCCGCCCAAACAGAGACGCGTCAGGGCCCCGAGGATAGACTCCCACCAGGCGACTAGTCACATATATATATATTAATTTTATTGCGTTGCTACATTATCCAGTGTCCATTTTGATCGAGATTCTGATAAATATGTAAACACATTTACCGATATGCTTATTCGGAGCTCGTTATAATAGACATGATTATTATCAGATGTTCTTTCGAAGCCGTCTTCTTTATTTAGCAGTCTGTAAAATTTTATAATAGTGTAACAAAAATATTCAGTACATTACAGTCACCATTCATGTTGTGTCTAGCGACAAACGTCTTGTTTAGGACTTGTTCATGCTAGTTTAGGACAAGGTTTTATATCTTATAATAAAATTTATGCGCGTCGGATTATTATATATAATTAATATCTTTATGAAGTTAGCAATATGTATTCAACACACGGTTTTCATATCATCACTCGTACTCGATATTTAGGATAGCCCTTATTTTCAACATTTTTACTCTTTTTACCCTTTTTACCCTTTGGGTACGGAAACCTAAAAAGAAGGGCACATGAATGTAATAACCGAAACGGGTCTCAATACGCATTAGGGTCCTAAATATTTATTGCTAAAATATTTTTAACTGTAAGTTCTAAACACTGCTATTTTTGATTACACAAAAAGAGATAAAAAGAGTCTTATATCAACAGGCACAAACAGAACAACTTTAAACACTATTCCATCTATACTAAACACTATATTAACAAGTGCATAGCAGATATGGATTAAATTGACTAACATAAACAAAAAAAGTAAAGTAACAGCCTATACGTGTCCTTACGATATTTTCCTGTTTTTCTACTATGCACGTGATAAGTGAGCGCTTAAAATAAACATTTTCATTAGTGCCGACAAGGGATTTGAAGTCAGGAATTTTAATTAAACATTAAAATCAACATACTTGAGCAATTAATTAGTTTGAATTAAAAGCGAACACCTGGACACTGAGCTATCACTGCTCATTTGATAAAAACACTTATTATTTTTAAATAAATACAATAACATAAAGCTTCCACAAGTCCTATAAACGCAAGCAATTACAATAAGTCGAGTGTAAGTCAGTAAAACGCTTATGGATTTCAATGGTCTGCGAAGTGTGTAAGGTGCCTGAGTATATTCCCGCGTTACACAATAACGATGTACGAATGCTCATCGCCAGTGTCGGTACTCGCATACTAATGCGCCCGTACGCTACAATGTTCGTGAGTTAACTTATTCGCCCTTACAACCGTAACAGTGCGGTTCTTGCATGCCCGTGCGACGAGCGAAGAGCCGGGTTGCGAAATATTAAACTAGTCTGGCCACGTTTGTTTATAAACACGGAGGTCCATATGAAAGTGTCGAGATGTATGGCCCGGGTGCAGCGGGCACATGATGCACTTCCATCCATACATTATTTGACGCTCGGCCGCATCGGCACGGGCGCGCCTCCGCCTTTTTATTTGCAACGCGTCCAATCGCCTCGCGCTCGCATTTTTCTATTCTTCATTATTCGCGAACAAAGGTGCAATGAAATGGAATGCAAGAATGCAATTCAATTCCCTTACACTATGCTTTTGTAATTTATTCGAGTGCGTTCGATGATATCATTTTATGGAAGTTATTATTTTTTTCTTTTTTTTTTTGTTGGTATTGGACTACTTACATCACATATGGGGTAGTGATTATATATTACAGATATTTTTTTTTATGTATCTCAACACGAATTTATGTTTTATCTGCTTTGTTTTATTGCATTTTTAACAATGTTTGGTTATAAGCGTTTTGGTTTTGGTCCATGATCTTTGGTTCACATAAGCCAGCAAAGTTTTTGTTTTCTCTATAACGTAACAGCCTCTACATGTCCCACTGCTGGGCAAAGGCCTCCTCTATACGGAGGGTATCAGGGCATAGTCCACCACGCGGCCCCACTGCGGATTGGCGGACTTCACATATCTTCGAAATATATTTTTTTTGTTATTATTTCGAAAATATGCAGGTTTCCTCACGATGTTTTCCTTCACCGCGGAGCACGTGATGAGACGGCACTTAAAGTTAAAAACTTCATTGGTGCCGGCACCGGGGATCGAACTCAGGTTGCTCGAGTATTTTGAATTAAAGGCGAGCGCCCGGACACTGAGCTATCACGGCTCACGGTTTTCTCTCTATTCTTTCTTAATATAGTAATATGATATTTTTCCATTCCTCTCTTATCTCACTTAAATCTCGAGACTTTAATTTTGGGTGGTCTTAGGGCCTCTTATCAGCTTATGCGTTAACTCCATGATAATGGTTTAACGATAATCTCACTGTGCTCACGTTTGACACGAGATCCTCGATCCTCCTGGGACAAGTCTTGTTAAAGAAACTTCGTATATATTTTGGATAGCAGTTGCAACCGTAGAGAAAAACTGATTTTCCCCCTAGAACGCTCACCGGAACTACATGACCAACGCCAGAAAGTGTACACCGAAACCGCAGCCCTCTGAACATGACACTCTTAATGAACACCCCGGGCGCAACCACAACAGGTGTCTCTCCCCTAATCTTAGCTACAGTTAGATTTTGAACACTTCGATATTGGCTTTCTCGGTAGTAATAATTTACAATTTCAAACAATCGCACAAAAACAACAACAATAATAAAAAAAGGAAAAGGTAACAATCAATTAATCATAATATAATCCTTCACCTAGGTCTCTTCTATATTATGCTAGTTTCTTAATAAAACGGAGCTTGTTTCATGCAACATGCATCGTACATCGCGGGAGAGATACCGTCGATCATAAATATGTGGAAGCTTACTTAAACTTAGATCTTGTGAAGCCATATATAAAGATGTTATTAAGGAAATTTTTCATTGTATAAATTTGAAATCCATTTTTATTTGTCAATACAATGTCATATTGACGTACACTTCTTTAATATACGACTCGAGCACATCCCGAGTAGAACGCTAATTTAAATAACAAGCAGTTTATTTACTGTAGGAGATAGATGTTATTTATAACTGCGAGTAATGGATTATGAGCTAGTTGTTTTTTGTGCGTTTCGTTTACAAAATATACAAACAGCGGCGCCGCGCAAGCCGCGAACGGACTCGTCGAACGAGCAAACAAACCGGTTTACAAAGGGGTCCCGGGGTTATTAAAACAGGGTTGAATAAAAGTCCGCCAATATTGACTTACACGGACCGCGCCCCCGCGTGAAAACAACTAATGTCGACAAATAGAAGCGTACCGAAGTGTTAAAAAAGGAAGTGCCTTAATGGAGTCCTTTGAAAGTTACCTTAGCACAATTCTCGCTCTTCTCCTATTATAAAATATACCCATTGAAACGCAAAAACTCATACTTGCGAACTGCTTCAGTATTGTGCTAAACTTTGACAGAAGCTAGAATATTTTAAAGTGGTATGCTCTCGGCTCTGGGCTCCAGGACGCAATGACTCTTTCTTTAAGACGGCCCTCTTGGCGGAACTCTTGTTTTAATTGGTACACTGCTATATCGTTGTTGTTTCTCATCATTTGCAAAATATACTTTATACAATGTTACGTATGTCGTTTTTAAGGTGAAAATCTTCATTAAGGTTTAAGGTTTATAAATTATAATAATGATCAAAAAATCAGGAACTATAACAATTCGTACGAAACTTGTGTTAGTTGCCATGCACTATAACTTTAGTATAAGTAAGACCTGATGCCCTTCATGTCCTGAGTAATGGAGCAAAGAAGCACCTGCGTTCGCTCAGCGAGCCTTCACAAGCGTTGAATCTCGTAAAATATGTACAGAACTATTTTCTTCAATTATTGTTACGAGCCTACGGCTTGCATAAAATAATGCAGCCGTGAATTGTAACATTCAAGAAGCGGTGGAGCAAGCCGCGGTACATAACACTGATGGCTTGGCAGCTGCATCTTTGTGTTCAATACTTCCCCCTCTCTCCAGCCACGTTTTGCAATCTTCACCAACACGTGCCTCGCTGCATTTATT